ACATAGAACTAGACATCGAGGTACATGTATGCTTCATTGACTATGCAAAAGCATCTGACAAAGTTCACCACAAAGCAATGATCGACTGCTTGCAAGCAATCGGTTTAGACGGCAAAGACGTCTGACTGTTTGAAAACCTGTAGGCCTACTGGGATCAAGTAGCAGCAATACAGAATGGCAACACACTCTCTCCCACTGCTGACATCAAGAACGGCTTCAGATGTACATGTACTCTCACCCAGCTTATTCAATATCTACACAGAAGTGATCTTCAGAGAAATTGAAGATTACAGAGGGGTTAATGTGGGAGGATTCAATGTGAATAACCTACGATATGCAGATGACACAGTCCTCATGGCAAAAACAGAAAGGGATCTACAAAACACTGTAGACAAAATCAAAGAAGGAAGCGAAAAATACGGGCTTAAAATGAACGTAAAGAAGACAAAAACAATGGTCATCAGTAAGAGGAAGTCTAAAACCAGCATCCAGGTTGACGGGAAAGAACTGTAACAGGTCGACTCCTTCATCCACTAAAGGACAAAATGATAACGGAAGATGGGCGATGCCAAGATGAAATCAAACGAAGGATAGTTATTGGCAAATCTGTCTTCAATAAAAGGAAACACATCTTCGCATCATGAAATATCAACATCAAAACACGGCTAAGACTAATCAAATGCTACATCTGGTCAACAGCACTATATGGAGCAGAAACATGGACATTGACGAAAGATTCAATCAACCGACTCGAAGCATTCGAAATGTGGACATACAGAAGAATGCTGAGCATCCCATGGATAGTTAAAATGACCAACCAACAAGTCCTTCAAATAGCACTGACAAAGAAATCCCTCATTAAAAACAGTAAAATACAGGAAGAAAAACTACTTTGGACACATGATGAGAAACCAAATGCTGCAGAAGACTCTTTTGGAAGGCAAAATAGAGGGGAAAAGACCAAGGGGAAGAAGAAGAACATCGTGGTTTGATAATGTGAGAGACTGGACTGGCCTTAGCTACAGGGAATGTGCGAGGGCATCTCAGGACAGAGACAGATGGAAATCCATTGCAGCCAACCTTCTGCGAGAAGACGGCACCTGATTGATAAAACAAATAAAATGAGTATAAAATAAGTGAAATTACTACAGAAACTAACTACAATTTAAGGCATTATAATACAAAACCAATTACTCGTTTCTTTGGCGGATCAAGGTAGAAGCAACAAAAATGATAAAAATATTTATTCATGTATACTTATCTAAATTGACCATTCATGTACACATGTACAACATCAAAAAGAGGGGACAACAAATGAAATGCTTTAACTACATACTAATAATATGAATCAGTAGAAAAACCAAGATGGATAGGGCGGGAGACTATTCGTCCGCTTCTTGCACCTATCCCAGTTTTCGGTGGGTGTGGGGTGGAGTACTGGGGGGGGGGGGAGGATGGAGAGGAATCAGTAGGAGGGGTAAGTCGGGTGGGACAGGAAGGAGGGGTGGTTGGGCAGGGGGTACTGTTGGGGTTGGAAGCGGCAGGGAACCAGAGAGTGCAGTGAGAGGGGGGTTCACGGTCGCTGTGTGTTGTGGTGTAGGATGGACAGGTGGAATAGGGGAAACATATGGTTTCAGTCGATTGTAATGGATGCATTTAGGCTTGGCTGAGGGACTATAATGGAGTAAGTGACAGGATGTTGGTCATCTGCTGGGTGTAAGGAAAAGACTTTAAAGGGGCCTTTCCATCGAGGGGCGAGTTTGACGCGAGCATTGCGGGGTCATCGTGCCAAACTAAATCACTGGGTTTGTAGGGGTGGGATTTGACTTTATTGTCGTAATGAGCTTTCTGTGATGCGCTGGCTTGTTGTTGGGTGGATGCTGCTTGATCAAATGCAGACTTAAGTCGGGTGTTAAGGGATGTGGCATAGGAGGCAGGGGATGTGTATGTGTCTGGGGCGGGGAAACCAACTACAACATTGGCGGGCAGACGGGGTTCTCTACCGTTAGCAAGGTAGAATGGTGAAAATCCAGTTGAGGAATGGACAGTGGAGTTGTAGGCAAATTGTACTTGGTGTTAAACATCATCCCATTCACCTTGGGTTGTGAGGAGATATTTGGCCAGCTGATCTTTGAGGGTACGATTGAATCGCTCTACCAGTCCATCGGATTGAGGATAGGGGGATGTACGGGTTTTAAGTTGATACCTACTAATTTGCAAAGTGCATGAATTAGGGCACTGTCAAACTGACAGCCTTGGTCAGTGTGGAGGGTTTCAGGAATACCATGCTCACAAATGTACTTGTCGAAGATGCACTTGGCAACAGATTGGGCGGTTTGATCCCGAAGAGGGAATACATTCACATATTTTGTGAACTGGTCCATGACAACCAGTATGTACCGGTTGTTCTTAGTAGTGACGGGTAGTTCTGTGATATCAGCGAAAACACGTTGAAAGGGTCTATCGGAGTTGGCAACTTTCATGGAGCTTTGTTACGGCTAAGCACAGGGATGGAAGGAGTAGGAGGGGGCGTGTCAGTTGTAGGAGTTTCTGTGGAAACCGAGGGGCGACGGGAGAGCACGTCTGCGTTACCATGGCGGGTGCCATCACGATACAGTCATAGGGGTCTAGTTTAAGGGCCCTTCTAGCCTTTCGCCAAGGCCATCGTGGCTTAACTTGCCGGCATTAGACAAAGCGGCGAGAGAACAAAGCGACCGTGAGTGGGAGACCACACACGCGAGTGGCGAAGCCACGAGGGCCTTTTCCAACTTGTCAAGAATTTCTCATGTTTTTCTTTATAATCTCGATTTTTTGCTACCCAAAAGGGTAGCAAAATTCCAACCAACCAGGGTGCGCGTGGCTACTACTCGGATGCGCGGGGGGGAGTCCCGGATACTTGCACAAAATTTAAAAACAAAAAAATGCGAGTCTAGTTTTCCACGAGATCACGACCGCGTAATTTTTCTTTCATTATCTCATTTTAATTGTACATATAAAAGTATTTCAAGAAATTATTCGAGTGAGTGAACTTTGTTGAGGCCAGTCTTCTGCGCGCTTCTGGTTTGCGTACTGCGCGCACTTACGTGTTCTTAATCAGTTTCAAATGTTACGCGTGGCAACTACTTGTTTTCAGTTCGTTCGCCACGGCCAGCTAGACAACAATTTTCTTTTACCGTTCTCTATTGTTCTCTCTCATTTTCATGGAGTTGTTCATTTTCTAAGTTGAATCTACATGTACATCTGTGATGCCTGTTCTGAGGTATGTAATGACACCTGCAGTATGAACAATAAACCAACTGTTAATCATATAGACAGGTTTCTACACTCTAAAAAAGAAGTGTAAATTTATGTTGTGTAAAACTGTTGTGTAAAAAAATTGCGTCATTTCTGCCCAATATTGAGCAAAATGAAAATTTCGCTTGTACCTCCTACATGTGTCAAATGTGTTACACATGAAAAGGGTAAAATAGTACCCAACATTGACTACAAGTCCCTGCAGCACAGGCAAAGAGTTCAAATCATGGTGTTATTACCCAAGTGATGGGTTAAAGAAACTGGATTTACCCCACCGCTGTGTAACAATTATTTCATTGCACACGTTGAAGAGTAGAATTTACCATGACATTAGTAAAATGTTACCACTGTGTGGGGTAAACTGACGCACGTGACAACGTTTACCCAATATTGTGCACGCGTCATCACTCATGTACAAAATGGCCGCCGCTTGTGAGACCTTCAACAATTTGGGGATTTTGATGACGTGATTTCTTTGTTCCAGGTAAGTCAGTGAAATGAATTTCAGTGTTGTTTCCTCCAAAATAATGCTGATGTATGAGGATTAATATCGGGGAGCTTAGAGAAGTAACAAGCTTATTTTTTGGACATTTATGTGCAACTTGGACGTCACGGCTCTGCCAACCACGATTCCATGCACATGATGCATACGTTTCATGTACCGTATAGTGAGTGTTCTCAGATCTAGAAACACGGAGTAAAGTGACCGACATTTGGGAAATTGTTTTTGAATGAGTTGATTGAGGGAAATTCTAACACCCCTGCCCATCATTTAGCCCACGTTCCTCGTAATAGTCCTTATGCATCAGCACCATATTTGGGGAAATATCATCTTATTCATTTTACTGACTTTCCAACCCAGGACTCAGTTATTGAAATCCCTCGCGATTGCTGTCTCTAGCACGCAATTCACATTGCAGAGTTCAAAGTTGAATAAAACCGCAAGGATCAATAACAAAGGTACACAACAACGAATTCAAAAACAACCCAAGTGATGGGTACATTTAGAACCCAATAGTGCAGGGTAAAAATTAGAACCCAATATCTGGGTAAGAAACTGACACAACACTTGGGTAAAAGGAGGGTTGGGTAAAGTTTACCCAATAATTGAGTAAAAAGGGAACATGGTCGTCACATGGGTAAACTTTTTTACCCAACTTTGTTGTGCAAACACGTAACACAATTATGGGTAAAAGTTACACTGAAATGGGTACTTTTTTGCACTTTAGCTGTTGTGTAAAAAAAAGTACACAAGTTGACGACCATGTTCCCTTTTTACTCTCGGAAAGGTAGTAATTTTACCCAATATTGAGCAACTATTTTTTAGAGTGTAGCATCGATAATTCTAGAAACTATAGGTCCGATTGAGATCGCGTTATAGGAAATCGGCGGCCTGTGGCAAAATGTGGGGAAATAGAATTTGAACCCTACATTTTAGTAAAAGAAAATTGATTATGAACTGTAGATCTACTGAATGTGCTACCCAGTTTCTTCGTGAACATTTGTAGAGTGTAGCTATAGAACTTTGAAGTAGAATTACTGCGGGTTCCCTGTATTTCTTCACCCGTACCGGACAATTTCGGGCATCGATAAATCGTCTTGCCTTGATGATGTCGCCATAGAGGGCGCTATATATTTACCTACCGGTTTTGTGATGCCGTAATATCATTTCTGTTATATTTCACGTCGGAGAACATCAAAGAATGATGGATGCCAAAGATAGTGTTTCTCAAATTTCACCCATGAGTAACCGAACATCAAGTACAGTTCATGTGAAAGCAGCCGCAAAACGAGCTGAACTGTTATGTAGGCAACGTCTACTGACAAAGAAACAAGAATTAGAATCTAGACATCTTGCTGTGCAACAAGCTAGGCAACAGGAAGAATTTAGACTGCAGAGAGAAAAGGAAAACTTCGACCTGCAGGTAGAAATAGAAGTTTCTGAAGCCAGCATTAGTGCTATAGAGCAATATGAAGATGAGTTTGATCAGAAAATCAGATTCAAGTTGCCCGACGAAATTCCTCATCCGGCGGCATGTGCAAGTTCTGTGTTGGGTGATAGAATTGAAGCTGGAGCATCTGAAAGGGTCTCTTCAAATGAAGAGCCCAACAAGATTGAAAATCCTTGGTCGATACCGCAAGACTTTCAAGGTAAAGTAGATGAAGTCGAAAACCGGATGCCAGAATTGACTCCGCAGGTGAATATAGGCCAGCTACACAAAGATTGTGCTCAGCTGGATCACCATGATGTGCCTGAGCCAACTACAGCACAACGGTATCAACCACATCTGCAGCCCATTTCCGATATCGGTGAGCTGACGCAACCTTTGATCAAGCAACAAGTTAGAGCTGCGTTACCAGCACAACAGATAGAAACCTTCAATGGCGATACACTGAAGTACACAAGATTCGTCAAGTCCTTTGAGTTCGGTGTCGAAGACAAGACCACAGACGTTAGAGATAGACTGAATTATCTTTGTCAATATACCTCCGGAGAGCCCAATACTCTGGTAAGCAGTTGTTTACATTACCATGATGCTGAAGAGGGCTACAGCAAGGCTAAAGAGTTGCTAGCCAAAAGATACGGCAACAGTCACAAGATTGCTCAAGCGGTTTTAAACAAAGCCAATAATTGGCCTGACATCAGAGCAGAAGATGCTACCGGCCTGAATAAGTTTTCGATATTCTTATCGGAGTGCAAGAACATGACAAAGTCTGTCAGCGCTCTCAGTGAATTAAACCACACCCAGAGCATCCAGATGTTGGTCGAGAAACTTCCGTACAGACTGCGCAGCATGTGGAGAAACAAAGTGTATGAAGTGGAAGAAGAGAAAAAGAGATGCATTGTCCTTGACGATCTGGTGAGTTTCGTAGATCGACACTCTCAGATACTCTCCAACCCAACGTTTGGAAGGCTACGTGAGACTCCCCACCTAGGCAAGAATAACATTGGAGAGAAGAACAAAAGAGTTCAAGTCAAGAAAGAGGCATTTGGCACCGCTGTGAATAGCCATGCAGAGAAAGCAAGGCAGAAGAAGTCTTGTCAATTCTGTGGCGGTAACTCCCATCACGCTACATTAGAATGCATGAAATTCGCGCAGCTGAGTTGGAAGGACAAGTCGTCATTCTGTTTCAAACACGGATTGTGTTTTGGCTGCCTGGGGGGCGGTCATACGAAATCAAGCTGTAAACAGAGAGAGTTAAGTAAATGCAGCAAATGTCCAGGCAACCATCCAACAGTTCTGCATAATGATGAGAAAATTACTAAGACGTCCCACCCAGCGCAGAACTCTCAGACCCAAGTCACAACGGGGTGTGCAGGTGTACTAGGGGCTGGGGCGAATTTGCACGCATCTGGCAGTCCTCGAATGGCTATCGTACCCGTCTTAGTAAAGGCATCTTCAAGTCATGAATGCATTGCCACGTACGCATTTCTAGACAACGGATGTGGAGCAGTTTTCGCAGACAGCGAGATTTGCAGAGCACTGAAGGTGAGAACAAGGAAGAGAAGTATAATACTGAAAACCTTGAATTCAGAAGAAGTTGTCGACTCGATCGTGATAGATAGACTCCAGTTGGGAGGGATGATAGAGGAGAACAGCTTCATCGACCTACCTGATGTGTATGTCAAGAATGACATTCCTGTGTCGCCAGAAGACATGGTAACGAAAGATGATCTGCAGGGATGGACCCACCTGTCACACATACAACTACCACAACTGTGCAGCCCAGCGATTCCAAGGGTAACCCTAATCATAGGTATGAACGTACCAGCTGCTACAACACCAATTGAGGTCATCAGAGGCAACTCGGGAGATCCTTATGGTGTTAAGACCCCTGTGGGATGGGTCATCTATGGAGTGCCCGGCAGACCCAAATCCCAACTTGATGCGAACTACATCAACGTACTAGATGGCTTGACCAACCTGGAAGATCAATACAAGCACTACATGAACTTAGACTTCAATGAAAGGTTGGGTGAAAGCCAAGATGAAAGTGCACTGTCAAAGGAAGACATGCGCTTCTTAGACATTGTCAAAGAAACTACAGAGTTTCAAGGCGGTCACTATCAGATGGCACTACCACTACAGCGACCCACAGTAAGAATGCCTGACAACCGCTCGCTGGCAGAAAAGAGAGCTGTTCAACTGAAGCGGAAGTTCGATAAGAACCAAGAGTTCAAAGAGAAATATGTGCAAGCTATGGAAGATACCATAGGCAAGGGTTATGTTGAAAAGGTTCCCGACAGCCAGAAGTTCAGAAGTGATGGTAAAGTCTGGTTCATCCCACATCACGGTGTTTACCAAGTTCAGAAGCAAAAGATGAGAGTGGTGTATGACTGCGCCGCAGAGTATGGTGGTGTTTCCCTGAACCGACAGCTGTTACAAGGGCCAGACATGACCAATGGTCTCACAGGTGTGCTGATGAGATTCAGACAAGAACCAGTTGCCGTCAAAGCTGACATAGAGGCAATGTTCTACCAAGTGAGGGTGAGATCGGAAGATAGAGATCTCCTAAGATTCCTATGGTGGCCAGGTGGAGATCTGAGTCGTGAATTAGAAGAGTATAGAATGACAGTGCACGTCTTTGGTGCAGCATCGTCTCCCAGCCATGGGCGTCGCGAGGGGGGGGCAAGGGGGGGCACTTGCCCCCCCCCCCCCCCTGGAAAAGCAAAAAAAAAAAGGAAGAAAAAAAAAGAAAAAAGAAAAAAAGAAAAAGAAGCGCAAAGACAAAGTGGTGTAATTTTAATGATCTGGGGGGGGGGGCAAAATGTCCCTGCCCCCCCTCTAAAACTGATAAATCGAGAATGTGTTGAGAAATACAAGCATTTTTTGGCAAAATCTTTTTTTGCCCCCCTCTAGAAAAAATCCTGGCGACGCCCATGCTCCCAGCTGTGCCAATTATGCACTACGTAGGACAGCTACAGACAACGAACAGCGCTATCGCTCGGAAGTTACGAATGCTGTCAGGAAGAATTTCTACGTCGATGACTTTTGCAAGTCAGTACCAGATAAAGAAGAGGCCAAGGTCATCTCGAGGGAAGTGACAGACCTGTTAGCTGAGGGTGGATTCAGACTCACCAAGTGGGTCAGCAATCAGCGAGAAGTCTTACGGTCGATTCCTAGGGAAGAATGGTCTAAGGAGGTAAAAGGCCTGCAGATTGATCAAGATGTTCTTCCACCAGATAAAACTCTTGGAGTCTTGTGGTGTATGGAGAGCGACACCTTCGGCTTCGAGATCAATGTGAAAGATCGTGAACCCACACGTCGTGGTATACTATCCATTGTGAGTTCAGTTTATGATCCGTTGGGAATGGTCAGTGCTGCCATTATGCCTGCCAAGTTGCTGCTTCAGGATCTATGCAGATTGAAGTTGAACTGGGATGAGAAGATTCCTCAAGAACACCTGCACAAATGGAACCTTTGGCTGATGGACCTACCCAAACTAGAATGCATCTCAGTAGATAGATGCTTCAAGCCTGAAGGCTTTCAGGATCCTGTTAGTGTGCAGATCCATCACTTTGCCGATGCCAGTGAGAAAGGGTATGGCGTCGTCAGCTACCTGAGACTACAGAACAGATATGGAGATGTTCATTGCTCCTTTGTTACATCCAAATCAAGAGTGACCCCGTTGAAGCAGCAATCCATACCCAGACTTGAACTTACAGCAGCCACTGTAGCAGTGAGAGTACACAACTCGATAGTTAGAGAGCTGGAGATCCCTGTTGACCAGACTTTCTTCTGGACAGACAGTATGACCGTCATCAAGTATATCTGCAATGAGACGACAAGGTTCAAGTCTTTCGTGGCTAATCGACTTACAGTGATAAGGGACAGTTCTCATCCATGTCAGTGTAAGTATGTGAGATCAGAACAGAATCCAGCAGACGACTGTTCAAGGGGACTTCCCATCGACAAGTTCATTGCCAATAGGAGATGGTTCCGAGGACCAGAGTTTCTCTGGCATGCAGAAGCAGATTGGCCTTCAACTTGCGTGACCGAGGAGCCAGAAGTAGATCGGGACCCAGAAGTAAAGCGTGTCATGGCGGCAGTTCCGATTGAAAATCTGCTGAGTCGGTCAAATGCAGTTAAGAAGCTGATAGAATACTACTCAGATTGGAATCGTCTGAGGAGAGCCGCAGCATGGTGGCTACGGTTAAAGAGAATCCTGAGAAAGAGAAGCAAAGAAGAATTCAAACATGACGCTGTGAACAACCTCACAGTGGAAGAAATAGAAGAAGCTGAAGTGAGTATCTTGAGATGGGTTCAACATGAGGCATTTCCTCACCAGATAAAGAGGCTTCAAGAAATGAATGATGGCCCTCAAGATCTCACAAGGGAATCTCCAAAACAGCAGAAAGTGGATAAGCTGTTAGACCAGTTAGACCCAGTGATGCACAAGAGCTTGATGAGGGTCGGCGGTAGGTTACAAGCCGCTCAACTCCCAGAGGAAGCCAAGCATCAGATAATCCTGCCACAAAGGTGCCACGTGACAGACCTGATTATGCAACATACACACCAAAAGATTCACCACCAAGGCAGAAATCATGTACTTGCAGAGCTGCGCCGGAGATATTGGATTTTGAAGGCAGGAGTGGTTTTGAAGAGTGTGTTGAAGAGGTGCGTGATTTGCAAGAAAGTCCAAGCTAAATTGGGTCAGCAGAAGATGGCAAACTTACCCGCTAACAGGCTGCTATCTGAGAAGCCAGCCTTCACTAGCACCGGAATAGATTACTTTGGCCCCTTCAATATCAAGCAGGGCCGCAACATAAAGAAGCGGTATGAAGTAGTATTTACCTGCTCGACCAGCCGAGCAGTTCACATTGAGATTGCAGAGAGCCTAGACACAAGCTCGTGCATAAATGCAGTGAGACGCTTCATTGCCAGAAGAGGAAATATAAAAGAGTTGATTTCCGACAATGGTACCAACCTCGTGGGTGCTCATGCAGAGTTGAAAAAGGCGATGAGCGAGTGGAATCATGAAACTCTCGAGAAATTCACAACTGATCGTGGTATCACCTGGAAGTTCAACCCGCCAGCAGCTTCACACTTTGGCGGCATCTGGGAACGCCAAATCCGTACCATTCGGAAGATACTACAAGCCATGTTGAATGAGCAGCATATGAGAGTGTGTAGAGATGAGGAACAGCTCAGGACCTTGATGTGTGAAGTTGAGTACACAATTAACAGTAGACCGTTAACCCATGCGTCTGATGATCCTAAGGATTTGAACGCCATCACTCCCAATGATTTGCTCTTGCTGAGACCAAGCAGTCTATACGTCGCACCACCTGGTGTTTTCTCAGAGAAAGATCAGTATGCGAAGAGGCGATGGCGCCAAATGCAGTATTTGGCAGATCTGTTCTGGAAGCGATGGTCTAGAGAATACCTGATGGATCTTCAACAGCGCCAAAAATGGTTGTACCCTCAGAGGAACCTACACCCTGGTGATGTGGTGTTAGTTGCTGACAATCAAGCACCGCGCAGTTCGTGGCCCCTTGGAATAGTGGAAAAAACCTATCCTGACAAGAATGGATTGATCAGGAGTGCTGAGGTAAAAACAAGAACGGCTCTTCTGGTGAGACCGGTCACGAAGCTTTGCCTTCTCCTTGAGCAAGAAACTTCAGTTCTGAAGGATCACAATGAGCCATTGTGTAATGCACAACAGTTATAGACACTTTGAAGAGACGAGTCCCCGGCGTCTAAACTGGGACACCTAACTGCAGGGTTTACCCTAGAGTTGGGATGGGTTGCTGGGAACCCAAGTCAGATTAAAAGCAAGACTGACTTTAAGGGTCCTTTCAAGCTGTTGCTTCAGGATACCAACCAGACAGTGGATCTTCACAAGGGAGACCTTCAATGTTCTACAGCCACCATTTCACCTGGAACACCTGTCAGTTCGATGCAGTGAGATTTAGTCTTCGCGGATGGAGCTGCAGGTTCTGAAGCCAAATTCTACTTGAAATCATCGCAAGACGATTCCGGACATTCGACGAATTGTACTCATCCTAATGGAAGTCTCCGTGAATGTTATGTCTTTTAAAGTAATTTTAAGAATGTTCAGCATACGCTGTACAGTTATACTCTACTTGTTGAAAAGACATTGTTCTACTTAGTACAAGTGTTTGCCTTTTTCCAAGTTGTTAGATGTGTCCTTTTTGTTTTGATGAAATCTCACTTTCTTAAAGCTTTTCTTGTGAAGCATGCAAAGACTGTTGTTATGATAACTTATAAACTTGTTTGATGAGTCTTTATTCTTATTGCTACAGGGATGCATGAATAGACACCATTTGCTGGAGTTACACCTGTGTGCACTCTGTATTCAGTGCTTCGGTTGACAAGCATCTAGTATTCTACAGGTTTCTCTTTAAAGCAGAAACGATTGCTGCAACTAGTTCTATTTTTAAAGTGTGTTTAAATTAGTGCCTGAGTCTTTTATAGTTTTCATGATTTGAGGTAATTGTATGTTCGTTACATAACAATTAAGGGGCTGGAATGTTGAGGCCAGTCTTCTGCGCGCTTCTGGTTTGCGTACTGCGCGCACTTACGCGTTCTTAATCAGTTTCAAATGTTACGCGTGGCAACTACTTGTTTTCAGTTCGTTCGCCACGGCCAGCTAGACAACAATTTTCTTTTACCGTTCTCTATTGTTCTCTCTCATTTTCATGGAGTTGTTCATTTTCTAAGTTGAATCTACATGTACATCTGTGATGCCTGTTCTGAGGTATGTAATGACACCTGCAGTATGAACAATAAACCAACTGTTAATCATATAGACAGGTTTCTAGCATCGATAATTCTAGAAACTATAGGTCCGATTGAGATTGCGTTATTGGAAATCGGCGGCCTGTGGCAAAATGTGGGGAAATAGAATTTGAACCCTACAAACTTATTTTTTCATCTGAATTTATAGTTATTTCTCCTTACGTTTTCCATTACTCACCCTTCTTTCACAAATGGAAGCAACTAGGCAAAATCTGCGCTGTGATTGGTTAACCTTTCAGCGCTCTACTTATTTGCATAAAAATATGAAGAATTCAACAAAATCAAGTTAGAAAAGGCCTCGTGGCTCCGCCACTCGAACGTGCTGACTTAATCTTTGCTCCAGTCGCTTCGTGCTTGCGCAGCTCTAAGCCACGATGACCTTGGCAAAAGGCTATATAGGGCCCATCGGGATCGACGGCCGGTACGATCATTGTGAACTGGTAATTTACGTAAACCAACGAGTGGTTTGTGATCGGTCACAATTGTGAAATGTGTGCACGCGAGATAATGGCGAAAGCGGCGAATAGATGACCAAACTATATGGCCCAGAGTTCGCGGTCATAAGTGGACCATCGCTTTTCTGCGGAGGTGAGAACATGGCTGGCGTACTGCATTTACGCGTTCGCGACCATTTTGAACTTGAGATAGTACTGAACCAATCGCAGAGTTAGAAGCATCTGTGAAAAGTGTGAAGGGCTTAGTAACATCAGGGTATGCCATGATAGGTGCGTGAATAAGTGCACCACGAAGGGAGGTGAATGCATCATTACACCATGATTACAAGTCCAATCAAAGGGTACATCTTTTTGAGTAAGACGATGAAGGGGCGCAGTAATTTTGGCAACGTTCTTGACAAAGCGACGATAATGAGCAAAGGCCTAGGAATGAGCGGACCTCAGTGGCATTACGGGGAATGGGCCACTGAGTCTTGAACACGATCAGTGCTGGATGGGTCGGGGAGAATTCCATCTTTCGAAACAACATGGCCCAAGAAACTAACTTGCGTTTGAAGAAAGTGACATTTACTGGGTTTGAGTTTCAGATTAGACTCCTTGAAGCGAGAAAGAACTTGCTCAAGGTTCTTCATGTGATCGGAAAAGGATTTTCCGACAACTATGACATCATCGAGATATAATGAAAGGTTTGCGGAAACACCATGTGCGAATAATTTCTCCACTATGAGAATGGTTCTGAAAAGAACCAGAGGAATAAACTTGCATCTGCTCGTGGTTGCCGTTTGTACATGCATTCCTGCATGACTGATGATGCATGCCAGTAGCACTACCCCGTGTTGATAATTACCTATTATAGCTCATACACCCTGACCCAGCTCAAGGTGACGATAGCGTTAGTGCTTATACACTTGTACTTCCATTTCCGTATACCGACCGGCGTGCATGCTTATTATCACTGTCCCTATACACTGCATGTACGCACCAAAGTTTACGATCGTGTCTTACCACTCTGTTCTTACTTTTCAAAATGTTGTGCAGCCTAGCTTAATATTCCAGAGCGCGAGGTAATCTAAATACGATTACCGTCATGGAGTTTAATGCCAGCGGCTGTTTCATCGCCTTACTAGCATTTACCAACAATTTGATATTTGGTTGTGTTGTCAAAAGCATAGGCGTTTTGCTGCCAACGCTACGGGACCAATTTACAGCCCAGACGTGGATAATAGGGATAATGGTGGCAGCAATGGGATTGATGTCGGATGTCTCAGGTATGCACATTGGTTGTTAATTTTTGTGAGGTAACTATAGAATTGGAAATTAACCAAGAAATTCGTCCAAACTGCATGCAATTTTTTAGTAACCTTTGACTTGACAGTTTGACACCGTCCATACAAATACATGCAGCGTAAAACTCCTGAAAGTATTCACAGACTCTATGACCACAATGAGTTGCATAATGATTTGTACAGGAAGAGGGGATGTACATTCTTTATCTGAGCTCAATGATACCACAGACGAATATGAACTTTCCACCCGTCAGTGATTAAAACAATTATTTCAAAAGATAGAATTCAAAACTTAATCAATTCGGCGTTATAGAGGTAAATGAATAATGTTTTTTTTCCAATGCGAAAGGATACACTTCATTTGTAAAAATAAAAGAGCAAGCGGGAAATTTCAGTACAGCGATAAGCAGTAAAGGAATAGGGATGAAAAGTTTGAAAGTGAAATAACATTACTTTATTTATCTTAAAAAGAAACAAATTATTTTAAAATTCCAGCCCTTGTAAATGACATCGAAGACCTACGAAATACAGAACTACCACAAAATCGATCGTGTCATCGCTGTAATACAGAAACTGGTATGCTCGATGATTATCGAAACCTTAAATTGAATGTGCATTAGATTGATTCAATTTTGCAAAGGGTTTTATGAGGGAATGTGGATACTTTTCTTATCTAAGGTGTGAAACGAATTGCTGTCTCACCCAAAGGAAACTCAGAAAATTGACGAAGACCTCGCACAAATGACCGTGCAATATTACTCACATGGTCTGCGGTCTCGATATCTCATAATTTGCATTCCTTTTAATGTAATTACAGGTCTCATTGCTGTTGTCCTGGAAGGCAGATTTGGTTGTAGACCTGTCTTAATCGTCAGCAGTGTGGTGGCAAGTGTGGGGTTGATTCTGGTTGGGCTTGCCTCAAGCACCATACACATAGCTCTGGCCTTAGCCGTCATAGTAGGTACAGTCACCATTGGTATCGCTTTGAAAGACATGACCTTAAAAGTAATAATAATTATATGTAGACCAAATCGACATCTCGTGTGAACAATGAATCGTGGGACAGAGTTGTGGATAAACAAACCCACGAGATGCTGTAGCTTGCCGTCAATTGTTCCAGAACCGCGTGACGTACGTGTATTGCACTCATCAGGAGATTTTGCACAAGCACCAGTGAAATGTCGATTTGCCTTACACCACCTGAGGATCAAAAGGTTCAGTTTGTATCGCTTATACGTACACATGTTACAGTAATGTAAGGATTATACACAATTGAATTTCTATACTGTCTTCCGCAGTCAATGTTCAACTTTTGTGCAATTTTGTTTTCTCTTTATAGGTCCTAGCTTTGGTATCATCGTTGTTCTCAGTAAAGTCTTATTGGGACGGCATTTCAGTGAACATTATGCCTTGGCATGTGGAATCGGTCACGCTGGCAAAGCAGTGGCCCTTCTTGCATTCGCTCCAATGACACAACTTTTTCTTGACACCTATGGTTGGAGGGGTGCATCTCTACTTATTGGTGGAATCAGCATGCATCAAATAGCCAGCGCATCTGTGGTACAAGTCAAGAATCCACAGTACCAGGCAGTAACAGGTAGAGGTGATGAGAACCTACACAGTGATAACACAACCCACACAAACTCACCTAAGGCGTTCTACATGCGCATCGTCAGAGCTATAGACCTCGGAATACTCCTTGAATTCAATTTCTGGATCGTTCTTATGTGCAACTTCGGAGTTACAACTGCTTTCAATTCCTGGTTGCTGTATTTCGTTCCTCATCTCCAAGTCAAAGGCTTCTCACCCACAGTAGCAGCCTCGCTGTGCTCAGCAGCTGCAGTCGGCTACTTCCTCGGCACGATCATCTGGGGTCCTTTCATTGACAAAGGTCTCATAAAATGTTCTACAGCAATGATCATTAGCAACTTGATGTTGTCTTTGTCGTTTGTAGTCGATCCGTGGATGAATGACGTCCTTAGTTACGTGTTCAGCACTTTTGTCTGTGGGATGTTCGCGTCAGCAGTCTACACTCTGGTTGACGTCCTAACTAAAGATGTCCTTGGGATTGAACGACTTGTCAGTGCATTCGGATGGATGCGGACCTTCTTCTTTGCAAGACTGATTTCAGGCTTTGTACCTGGTAAGTCAGAGAAACCAATTTATCACCCACATGCTTTATGTAAAGAGCAAAATGAGAAATATTTCCCATCAGTGGGCATACATATATACTGGTTACCCGCAAAGCAATCATGGCTTCTTTGGGTCTTATACATGGGCGCCCCCCCCCCCGGAAAACGGGGAAAAGGAAAAAGGGGGGGGGGGGAAGGGACGCGAAGCCATATTGCTGTTAATTTGATGGGGGGGTGGGACAAATGCTCCCCTGCTCACGCTCGGAAAAATGATAAATTGAGAATATAATGAAAAAGTTAAGGAATTTTGGGGGAAAATTAGCTTTGCCCCCCCCCCCCCAGGAAAAAAATCCTGGCGACGCCCATGGTCTTATAGTTCTGATTTCCGACATGTTCGCATTGCTGTCCCCTCTATATTGAAAATCGATATAGTGTCTGAAAGTATCGATGCATTTTAATCGAAATCTTTGTCAAGCAGTGATGAAGGTCTAGAGACGATCGAGACAGATCTCGAGACCCATTTTCAGATCTCTGGATTGTCCATTTCAGTGGAGTATTCAGCCGGGGGCTGGGTGGGCAACTTGTCCCCTGACGATTTATTTTTAAAGAAATGAAGCGCCTCACGAACCGCTTCTATAACACCACTCCAATGGTATTATTTAATATGCCATCACGCACATATCCTTTATGATGCATTGTGTGCACTTGTTACGAACGGGTAGGATCAGAACACCATTTTTATACCGGACCTGTTAACCTACACAATGCCGTGCCTTGTCTCCTTTCCATTGACCATGGATGCAGGCTGGGGGCATGCACTGTGCTTACTATAGACATATGCATTTTTTTTAAATAAAGGTTCCGTATATTTTTGCTACTTTTGTGGCAAAAAAGTGAAGTGGCTTCAGTGAAGATTTATTACCCCCCAAAAACCGAATGACTGTAAGGAGTGACCTTGGGACAAACGTGCTGTACACTTTAATATCCATTTTGGTCTCAATCCCGATGTAGGACCTTCAGGCTGTACTGGTTCTCTCTCTGAGATAACGTCCAAAATTGCAAAATACGCAACAAAATGTATTTTTAAAAGTTGATAATTTATCCTTTTTTTTTAATAATTCACCAGGCTGGATATACGAGAAGAGAGGCAGTTATGACTTGGCTTTCATCGTGATTGGTTTGTTACCAACTGCTTCCCTCATTCCGCTGGTTATCGGGCTGCTACGGAAGGAAATATAGGATATGAACTCCTTGACTTTGTGTAACTTAACAGACTCACATTATTAGTGTACACCTCTGCATTAATGGATTTAGGTGTTCTCCTTTTTTCGGTAAAAGTCCAACCAAACTAAACCTAAGGACCGTTACTAGCATTTTGCAATTGTCTCTTGGCAGTGCTCATTATCCTGATGCATGGAAACCAGCTTCAGTGGTCCCCATCTACATGGGTGGAGTAGGCTGTAGCATCGATCAGCCTATTTCTATCTTGCCGCTTGTCTTCAAGTCCTTGAGAGAGGTGTCGACTGCAGTGCGTGTATTCTTACCTTGATAAAAGAAAATCTGATTTCTGCTTGCCAATCTGGAGTTGCACTCGACAAAAACCACTTTGCATGAATTGAGTAATAACTGTCTTCGATTGCCATCGACCATTAGAGGCTGACGATATACCGTCTTTATTGATTGTAATGTTTTATTCTGTCAATCATAATATCCCTTTTCTCACAAACCTCTTAGCAACTGTTCTGTTTTATGCACGAGTCTTGACACCAAGATCATCATCCACATCTTTTAAATTCTAATTAAGCAAATTTACAAAGACACTCCTCTAAATATTCTTCGTGTTATAAAGTTTCCGTCTTAGCTTTGAGTGTCTTGTTGTACATGTATATTGATTGCATCGGGTTTAAAGATGTACCGTTATTTACTTTTGAACTAATGCGATTTTTTTTTCTCCTGACGACTTTTCAATTATGTTTTATTTTAACGGATTTTGTTTCTATTTTGGCTTCTGCAAACTTACATTATCGCTTCCTATAGGGCCGGAAACCAGTTTACCCTGCGAGAACTAAGTTAAAGTCGGACCTCAAATAGTGTAAAGTAATAGCTAAGCACTTTTTTCATTCCATGTCTCATACGAAAGTTAATAACTTTTGTATTGCTAGAAAATAATAGCAATTTTAAAAGAAAATTATTCTTGGGACGAAACTTGAAAATGGCACGGACAGTAGGCCTACAGCTTAAAAAAGAAACGTTTTCTGCAATTAAAAAACTTGTTGGTTTAATTAGTATCTTTGTAGTCCCTGTAAAACTTGAATGAACTTAAACAAAATCTTTTTGATGTAAATAATTGAAAATAAAACAATACATATTATCTAGCAACCACGAATATTTAATTGTATCAGGCGGTTCAGTTGATTGATTTTGATCTTTTTTTGTAATCAACTGCATGTTGTCAGCTACACAGGTAATAAACACACAGAGTCAATCCTAAAACAGCTGGCCGTTGGGTTTAAACTAGACTTTTTACATGTAGATTGGGTGGGGCGCGGCTTGCGGGTTTTCTCATGCACACCACACAAAAAACATCATAGCATAAATTTAAAAGTGTATTTTTTTTTTCAATTTAATTCTTACATTACTTTTTCATATATAAATTATTATCAAATGACAGGTTTCTAAAGAAATTACAAGCTGTTCGATCATTCAAAATGTTATTTAATACACGTGCGTTTTCCCTTTTATTTGGTTATAATTTGCGTGCATAGAAAACGTTTTACCGCAGGGCTAGCCTTAACATCGCATCTTGTAGTCTTCGCATATAGGACACAAATAAGCATGATTGTAAATGGGACAACTGCAAACAAACAAAACGGCTGTGTGTATTTTACCCCAAACTGACCTTGAGTAGGACCAGTCACCTTTCACTTTGTTTTATGCGAACTGTTCTTTGACCACTGGTATAGATGTTTCATTCATACAACCTGTGCCTCCAAAACCATCGCCAGCCAAGTCACATGTCACCCCACCTTCAACCCTCATACTCAGCTCACTGCACTCTCTGGTTCCCTACCGCTTCCAACCCCAACATCCCTGCCCAACCACCCCTCCTTCCTGACGCACCCGACTTACCCCTCCCACTGATTCCTCTCCGCCCTTCCCCAGTACTCCATCCCACACTCACCCACAACTGGTATAGGTGTTCCACTCACTCGCACACGAAGCCTATCCATCTTGGTTTTTCTACCGATTCATATTATTAGTGTGTAGTTAAAGTATTTCAAACTGTTCATTACCTCATTCATGTTCACTTTTTTTCATGTAATTGTATAACTATACATGTACATGTATAAATACTTTTATCGTGGAAGCATCCCATTATTCCTAAGCTCCAGTCGTCCTAGTCAAGAACTCAGTGCTCATTTCCCATCCTTGTTCTGTAAGTTACATATCATTCTTTATTTCTCATTATTACTAGTCTACAATTCATATTTGTGTTCATAGTTATTATTATTTAGGGTGATGATTTAGTGCATTTTAATTGTTGGGATTAGTTTATCACTTTTCGTACCGTAAGACTCCCTGAAACTGTTGGGCAAGTCCACTAGGGATTTATCAATTTCATTTGAGGAGTTCAAGTTCATTGTATTTTGATATTCTCTTATCCTTATCGGATTTTTTAATATTTGATTTACTTTTACTTCTTGCAAAGTTCTTTGCTAGTTTAAGCTAAAGTTTAGTTACTTTTATCTTTGGTTTTATTCTTATTTGTTCACTTATTCAGAGGTTGGTGAGATAAATTTAATTCTGTAATTCACAATTCCGTTATTAAGTTATTCGCTTAATATTTTACCAAACTTTGGGGACTACTCCTTAGAAAACATGCATTTAAATGTATGTACATGCATAGACTCTAGACCACACCCTAAGATTGCCAGCACTGCATCTTGTGGTTTATCTTGGAAGAAGGAGTATTGGAGTACACCAGCTGGTAGAGTCATTAAGAACCTCCTGGTTTATAGCTGAGTGTAGAATCTGTGGTTTAAGTTCCACATCGATAATAGGCATAGCTACATGTGTGGGTATAATATCGATACTGTGTGCTGTGTGAGTAGGGTTGTGTACAGCGGCTGGTAATTGCTATGTGATCAGTGCACCATCAGCCTACACAGGGAAAACCATAAAGGTTGCTAGTAGTATTGCTACTCCCTAGCTCATTAGTATGTATTAGGTTTTTGTGGTAAATTGTTATTGAGTGCAGCACTGACTAGGAGTTTTAGTGTTCTTGCCTGGACTCGAAAGTTGCTGTGAATATTTAAGTAGGTGGATTAAGAAACAACTTGTTCATGGATACTGTTACTTACGAGCGTATTTTCCTCAACTACGAACCTTTATTCTTTGACGAAAGAATTCAAGAACTTTGGAATTTGTTTGATTTAATTTTGATTTAACCTTGATTTAATTTTGATTTAACTTTTATTTAATTTTGCTAATTTCTAGACTCTAGTTCACTGTAGTTATATACTTTACATAGTTTGATGTTTACTTATTATTGTTTACTTTCTGTTTTTCATTATAGACTTACCCATCAACCCTTTTTTTCTTTTTGTTGCTGTTAAAATAAACTTGTAAAAAGAACCAATATCCGGGTCAGACGTGTATAATACAACCACCCCGTCCTTATTAAACGCGTCAATTTGTGCAAACGCGGCGGACATTTTTAGGTATTAACGAAGTTCCACAGTTAGGCCTATACGTCTCCTTCGTTGACGAGGAGTTTGCCCCAAACTTCTGTGTCCATGATGTCGGGCAATATACATGCGTGAAATGCATCAGGCAGCGCGACCCGAGCAGCGTTACGCTACGGTGGATAACTTTCCATTGCTCGCAAGTAAACTCCCAGGAAGACTGACAAAGCTTGGGTAATTTGATTGATCTACATAATTAGCAACAATAACGGGTGGTTTTCAATGTCAAATTCTCGCAAGAATGACACAAAAAGGGTCACTTTTAAATGATTTACCTACTTAATAATATCATTTCGTTTAATTAAAACGCGCATAAAAGTCTTTCCAGGACGCAGCGAATGCCTCTTTCCGGTGCGGATCCAGAGGGGGAGCCCCCCTCCCCCAGCCCTGACACCAAAGACAAATTAAAACAATTATAGTAATATTAAAAAATATATATATAAAAAAAAACAAAAAAAATATCACATTCTTCCAGTCTTCAACAATCGGACATAACGGGCCAGACCCTTCTTGCAAAAATCCCTGAACCCGCTCCTGCCTTTAAGTACAAGTCTTTCCGATTCACCGATGATGTTGCACGTGTGTGTCCTTGATTCACACCACAAACAAATGCACCCACAACAACCGTGTTTTTTGGTAGTTATGGGGTACCACTATTGTCCACTTGACTTCCCTTCTTTTATTCTCCCTTGTTCATATTAAATCTCAAATTCCATAGCGTTTTACATATGGGGTACTGAGGTTTCTAAAGACCGACTTGTAGGGTACCATTGTCCTATTGTTGCCCTATGTTCCCGGTACCCCATAAGTCAGTATACGTATAAACACACCCCACACACCCACAGCTCATATTTACTATACCCATGGGGACCTGCCCCTTTCCTTCTTTTAATCCCTTTTATTTGTACTTTAACTTTTTCTCGACAGCTCCCAAAAGGTTTTGTACACGACATTCTCCCGAGGACTAGTGCCCGGGTCCTTGGCCCCGGGCCCATTGAAATCGCACACACCACATTGTCCCAAGTCCTCAATCTGAACGGATAACCAACGAACGTAGGTATTTTTTAGAACTTCCCTGGCACTACAAAGTACAAACAAAATATATTCAACAGCACATAAAATCGGGGGGGGGGAGTTAGAAAAAAAACTAACTTGTTTCACATTTTGGGCTTGTAGATGCTGGGAAAACCAAGAAAACCAATCATGTTCTTGTAGTCTGGTTCCCTGACCCCACTGAAGATGAAACAAAGCAATTTATACACGTTGGGAATGTACGGTTAGAGAATTAGTCTAGCAGGCTTGTCCTCCTTCCCAGGGGTGTAATCAATTGCAAAGAAAATGCGCAATAACTAAACATGAACAATTAGGAGTAGTTTTTGAAAAAAGCCAGTTTTGTCCAACGCTGGTCGGCCGGCCAGCGTTGGAAAAATACCATTTTTCTTGAAAATGTCAGCACACCAGGAGCCACGATTTTACAAGATGCGTTAGACTATCATTACCCAACAATCTAGTAAGGTAATTCATGATAATTTGATCATTCTTTTGATGTTTGCAAATGTTGTATCTTCCCTTTAAGACACGTAGGGCCTACGTAATAACGTAAGTTTGTTTTTAAGACCAAATATTCTATCTAGCGGATCTAGGTTTTTTTGGGGGGGGGGGCCGGGGGGTGGTCGTCGACTAATGTTATGGCTGAACTAGTAAAATGTGGCATCCAAAAAAATGGAATGCTATAAATAGGGCCGGTCCTACATTTATTCTCAAATTTCCTTATATAGAATAAGGAGAAAGCATTGTAGCATTGTAAGCATTTAAAACGTTCTGGCAAGGCGATACGCTCCCCCCCCCCCCCCCCCCGCCCTTCATTTTATCACCAAAATTAGTAGAGATCCACAAATTTACCTTTTTGGGGCATCGTTTTGTTTCGCCACTGTGTATGTATTTTTTAACCGAAGGCACTTGTAAATATTCACAATATTTCAGTGCCGTAGCAAGGTCATTTTGATTGGAGGGGGTAATTTTTTTTTTTAGAAAAAGGGCACTCTCACATTCGATTAAAACCGACGATTATGCACACCATAACGGACAATATATGGTGCTTTTCAGGACGATACATACGTGAAATTCAAAAAAGGGCACCACTTCTTTTTTTGAAAAAGGACCGACACTACTGTCTTGTTCAGAAAAAAAGGCACTCTTCTGAAAAAAGGGGCACTCTTGGGCCAAAAAAAAAAGTCTCCGGTTTCTGGTATGGAGCTTGCCCGAAAAGTGGTGCGGCGACGCGGCTTTTTTTTTTTTTCCCTGATTTTTTTGCTTTAAATGTCGGCTGATGACTGCAAATGGTGCCCGACTAATCTTAGTGCAAATATATGGGAGTCCAGAGAGGCCACATAAAGCTTATTCTCGACCATAACCCAATCTAAAAACACGTTAAAATTGTGCAGCAGCAGGATTCCAGTCAAACCAGTGAGTTTGGCGGTTTTGAGACATCATCTTTCATTGAAAAAAAAACTTTTTCATTTTGCCGACGCGCATGGCTACGGCGACGCGCGCGCATACCAGAAACCGGAGACTTTTTTTTTTGGCCTTGACAAACTTTGGGGGGTAAGCGCCGGTGAAAACAAGGACATTTGAATGGAAAAAAGCACAATATTTAGAAATACTGCCCCCCCCCCCGCTGTCTACGCCTATGTATTTTAATTATTGCTCGGATTTATTGACCATCCACCCCCATTTCACCTAATTAGCCCCCCCCCCCAAGAAACCTTGTCGTCCCCCAGTCGCCCCCCCCCCCCTGAGATTTTGAGTTTCTAAAAAAAAATTCATTGATCTACATGATGCCCCCCATTAAATGTTCCAGCCCCCCCCCCCCCCCCCAGCGCCCCCCACTGAAAAATTCCCGGGCTACGCCACTACCCCCCTTCCAATTTTCACAACTGCCATTCGACATACGGCTTGTCTGATAAGTTTGTCTGACTGAGCATGATTTGTCAGGATCGGTCGAGCTCTTTCTGTGTCTACGCTCCATCCACTAGAAAAAGCTCGTTGACAGTCACACTAGTTGTTGGTCAAAGAGCAGCAGATTTAATTTTTTTTTTCCCCGGCTAGATCTGGCAGATCTTTTGAAAAAAAAATGAAAATAGTAGAATTTAAAGGCCAAAAAAATAATAAGTCGGTCTCTGGTCAGCGCGCGCGTCGATTTTAATCATGCGCGTCGATCTTTTTTTTTCCAAAATGTTCCGTGGTAGCTCCAACAGCGCCCTCTATTTCCGCACCTCCTCAATTTTTTTTACCAAAGAGCACCAAGGCAAATGATCGAAAGCACCAAGGCAAATTATGGAGGACACCAATGTACATGTACATGAGGACACCAAAAAAGCAAAACAGTATATACCTACCTTGTCTGTACAATCCAAGCTTGAAGAAAAGAAAAAAAAAAGCAAAAAAAAAAAAAAAAGCCGCTAGGCCGCGTCAATTCCGGACTCTGGTCTGACCAGAGACCGAATTTTTTTTTTTTTTTTTTGGCCTAACCGGGGGTGACCAGATGAAAATCTGCTAGATTTTGCATGCTGTAGCACTATATTACACGCATTGATCTCCATATTACACGTCAAGCATCAAGAGAGCGCCCTCAATCGATTATATTATGTCAACGTCGATGATGGAGATTTTTATGAATTTGGTAAGCGAAATTCTTGTAAATTTCACCATTTTATATCACATTTCAGGGATTTGAACCCACCCTATAGGTACCTATCCATGTCAAGATAATACATGTGGAATACTGGGGCCGAACATTTCGTGACAGGAGAGTTTGGAGGTCGACACAAATTGATATCCTCGACCCTCTCCTCTGGCTGCACAGTAGGAATAGAGGAAACAGGTCAACTCGTACGCGAGTCAACTCGTACGCGGATTGGTCAACTCGTACGCGAGTCAACTCGTACGCGAACCAACTCGTACGCGTGCCAACTCGTACGCGAGCCAACTCGTACGCGAACCAACTCGTACGCGAACCAACTCGTACGCGGGCCGTTTTAGGAGTGGTTTCGAGGATTGGGTTGGCATGGTTGGGAAGAATTTGGGAATAGTGTGATGGGTAGTCCGTAGTTTAATGTGTGACCGTTGTGTGTGATTGGGAGTGAACCCGTGAATGATGATAATAAAGTAACTGATTTTTGTAGTTAGACATGTGTTGTATCGTTTTGTGCATACCTGTGAATAGTGTGGCGGGTAGTCCGTAGTTCAATGTGTGACCGTTGTGTGTGATTGGGAGTGAACCCGTGAATGATGATAATAAAGTAACTGATTTTTGTAGTTAGACGAGTGTTGTATCGTTTTGTGAATACCTGTAGCCTTGTCACGTCAAATTTAATTCCATATATTAATGCAACGATATACCAGTTGCATTTTTCGTGTTTTTTTAATCAATATACCTGTCAGTCAATTAATTGTCACCATTGTCAAACTGACCCAATTGCAACGCTCTGGACTACCGTGGATCTGTTCTCGCGGTTCGGTGTCCTAAAAGAACCGGCGGGTTTAGAAGATCAAAAGAGATCGATCAGACTTGTCAACTGCCCGTCACTCAACTTTCATTGTGGTTCACAACCATTGATCAATTAAAAAGCAGACACGCGGGGACATCCGTAGGCCTAGCAATTTCTATTTACAACTGAAATGCTTGGTATAACCATGGAGGTATAGCCCGCTAACCAAATGCTTGTCAAAACAGCGGCGGCCGGGGCTAGACAAACAATTCCTTAACCAGGCCGGCGTGCGAGTGAAAAATTATTGGGATACGGCAAAGATCAACGCTCGAGCGCCGGGCATCTTTAATCTATTAGGGGTATTGTTTCGTAAACGTGGTAACACGGGTGTGTTAAAGCTTTCATGTTTGCCGCTAGTATAGTAGCGGTTTTGTTGGTATCTTTTATCAATTAGGGGTATTATGTTGTGAGCTCATTCTGGATCTTAAATTTCACTATATAAACCTGTACTGGGAACGTAGTCAATCAGTTGTATCAACTACCCCAAGCTATCAAGACGTTCCTGGTTCCAGTTCTCAAGACGTTCCTGTTTTCAAGATTCAAGATCAAGATTCAAGATCAAGATGCAGTACCCTTGTGTTGTGTGCTCTCTGCCTGTCCGTAGAAACCAGAAGGCACTTCTCTGCGACCGTTGCAACAGATGGCAACATCTGTCCTGTAACACCGGGTTTTCCTCGGAAGACTATGAACGGTTCATGGACGACTCATCTGAGCTAGGATTGTGGTATTGTGAACTCTGTTCCATTCATGACAGTGATTCACCAATTCCGGTTGGAGAAAGTACCAGAGCTTCAGCTCAGGCGCTTTCTCCATCTGGAGTTGTTGATGACCTGATGGATGTGGACGAGCCACAAGTCCTTCCTAGCAACGAGGAGTCGGCTGTGTCCTTCAATGTCTCCCGTAGTTTTGAAATCCCACAGCCACCTGAGGAGAACAGCATCGTCGACGCACCCGTTCCTGATGTACTTCCAGACGCCGGTCAAGATCAAGTCACCACGTACAAGGTCTTGGAAGGTGGGACCCAGCGAGGGAAAACCATCCTCGTGGACAACCGGGGCTACAAGTACACCAAGAGATGGCAGCGAAATCCCGCTTCGTCACAGCGCACCTGGGTGTGCAGCCTGCGAAGTCGGAACCATCGCTGCCCGGTCTCCGTTATACAGAACGGGGACACCTTCACGGCCGGTTCCCACACCGAACACTCGCATTCAGCAAACCCCGGTGCCCATGTGGCCGTTGAAGTAACAACGGCCATTAAGGCCACATCGAAGAGAGATGTCTTCTGCTCTGCTGGTGTGATCGTCGAGGAGGCAATGGCTGGCATTGCCCCTGACGCTCCAACGGCCAGCTTCCCTAAGCCATCCCTCTTAGTCCGTACAGCAAACCGAGCCCGTCAAGGTCAGCGCCCTCAAGACCCCACCGACCTCCAGTTCCAGTTGGCCATGGACTTCGTCCCAGCGGACTTCCTGATCAAGGACATCACTGTCGGCGATGAGAGGCATCTAGTCTTCATGACACCAACCCAGTCGTCAGTCCTCGACCAGGCCAAGACCTGGTACCTCGATGGAACTTTCAAGATAGTCAACCGGCCGTTCGTGCAGATGTTCAGCATCCACGCTTTCATCAAGTCCGAGCACGGCGAGCAGAAGCAGATTCCCCTTGCCTTCTGCTTAATGTCTCGCCGTACCAAGAAAGACTACCGGAAGGTGCTTCGGGCGGTAAAGCGTGAGCTGCCTTCACGTGGCAGCAACGTCCAGCAGTTTGTCGCAGACTTTGAGTCTGGACTGTGGGCCGCCCTGCGTGCTGTGTTCCCAGACCGGCACATTCAAGGCTGCCTGTACCACTGGACGCAGGCCATCTGGAGGCAGTGCCAGAGTCTTGGCTTAGCTGTCCCATACACCACCGATCCAGAAGTTCAAGCCTGCATCCGGAAGCTGATGTCCCTGCCGTTTCTTCCCCAAGAACACATCGCAGCGACCTTTGCCAAGCTGAAGACCAAGATCACCGAGCCTCTCCTTACGCAGCTATTCGACTACGTGCAGAAGACCTGGCTAGACAGCAACGTGTGGCCTCCTGCCAACTGGTCCATCTTCCAGCACAGCATCCGGACCAACAACGACGTCGAGGGCTGGCATCGCAGACTCAACTGTAAAGCTGGTAGAGCTGGTTTACAGCTCTACCAGCTTATCCCGCTGCTCCACACCGAGGCCAAGCTCATCACTCTGCAGATGATTCTGGTTCGTGAGTCGAAAATGTGCAGGAACCAGCGCCGGAAGACAAGACAACTGGAGGGCCGCATCTTCAAGCTGTGGGGCGACTACGCGCAAGGGACAATCAAGACGTCGGCTCTCCTAGCAGCATGCAGCCATCTGCATGGACCAGCCCTGTAAACGAGGAAAGCACAACCAACACCAACAAAAAAAACAAACGGCCCTTTTCAGGGCCACACAAAAAAAACCAAACGGCCCTTTTCAGGGCCACACATTTTCAAAAAAGAGAATAGACAATGTCTAACTGAAAACCCAATCGGTCCTTTTCAGGGCCACCACGCATTTGCAGTGATATTAAATAAAATTCAAATTTTTAAAAATAAATCAAATTCACCCCCATTCACCCCCATTCCCCATTGTTTTATTTTACAAAATATAATTTGGAGACATAATAATTAGGACTAAAAATTATCGGACCAAAGCTAAACATTAATTTTCGGACCCAAGAAAAAAAATTATTTTCAGGGCAACCTCGAATTTTACGAATTTAAAAATCAATGAAATTCAACTCCCCATTGTTTTATTTTACAAAATATAATTTGGATACATAATAATTAGGACTAAAACATAATTGGACCCAAGCAAAAAATTAATTTTCTGACCCAAGAAACCTCGCATTTGACCCAAGAAACCTCGCATTTCCGGTAAAATTATATAAAGAAAATATATAAACAATAAAAATCAACTCCCCATTTTTTCTTTTTTTACAAAAAATTATTTGGATATATAATAATTAGGACTAAAAAACTATCTTACCCAAGCAAAAAACTGGCGGACACTGTCCGTACAACTGTATAAGCATGCGTGATGCTATATTCCTTTTTTTATAGTAGCTCCTTTTTATACAATAGACCTCGCAAATATCGGTGTTTTCTTGTCATTTTACTTGTCTAACCAACCAGCAATTGTACCGCGGCATACACAGGTTTCAGCGATTCAATCATGCATTCTTTATACAATGCGCGGTGCGGCGGGAACCAATCATACTGGTTATCGCGAAGACAACTTCCCAATCAATCAAGCGAACTTGTAATTCTTCTCTAAAAAATCGCGAATGTAAGTAGCACTGGCGGATTCAAAAATCAACTTCACTTAATTTGAAAATCTCAACCTTTCAGAAAAGGTACAATTATGCCGACCTACCGTACCGAACCTAATTTCATCTGTCCATGTGAGCTAAACCAATCGTCTAAACTCACGCGTACGAGTTGGTCCGCGTACGAGTTGGTCCGCGTACGAGTCGGTCCGCGTACGAGTCGGTCCGCGTACGAGTCGGTTCGCGTACGAATTGACCCGCGTACGAGTTGGTCGCGTACGAGTTGGTTCGCGTACGAGTTGACCTGTATTCGCACAGTACAGTTTAACTTTAAGCCTTGCTTGCAACGCGCGCACGTTACACACAAATTGAAATGAAGGTGAGTGCGTAGAAATAGAACCGCGTAGCTTTTTCTGGTACAACTATAGAAATTAGAAGGTATCAGGTCATCTCGTACCTTGGGCAACTCGTACCTTGGACAACTCGTACCTTCTACTCGACGTCATTATACCGAGTCGTACCTTGGACAACTCGTACCTTCGGCAAGTCGTACCTTCAGTTAAGACGACTCGTACCATCACGCGTAAGACAAGTCGTACCGTCAAAAGGCGTCAATCAGGATAATGATCCGAGGCTGAATAAAGTGGACCGTAACTCATTGAAAGTGGACTGCTTATTAAAATAAAGGTGAATCTCTTTTTGGTATGGGCTCTCTTTCCCCCCCCCAAAAGAGGAATTTATTTAGTGCGAAGCCGGCCGTGGCAGCTCACACGCACTGTGTGCGCGGCATGCACACAGAATAATCAAACTGGATAATCAAACTGAATAATCACTGACGATGTCACCACGTCTTTGCCAAATCCAGAACCTAAAACGAACAAAAAAAAGTAAACTACATTTTTTGATATGACCAAATCAAACGGTAATTATGCAGAGTATGAAACAAAATTAATTTCTCTGTTAAAAAACACAACACAAGAACCCGCCCCCCCCCCCCCAAAAGAAAAACATTCCCAATAATATTGAATGATAATGACCTCTTGTTTCCTACCTCCATGCAATAACCAAATATACAACCAAGCCTATGCCAGTAATCAGTTCACGCTCAAACTGAATAATCACTTTCTATATCACCTGGTCCTTACCAAATCCAGAACCTAAAAAGAAAAGAAAGAAAATAAAATGATTTAAATTTAGATAACAATTTAAATTCATAGTTTGATTAATTATGCTAGACTGCGTACGAATTTGTATGCCCCGGCCCGACACGGAAAGCACGTGCAATATGGTTCTTTAGAACATAAATTAACTTGCAAAACATCGTATCAATCATGTGGGAGTCAAGGAACCACACACTAAAAGAATAAACTGTCGATGTCATCTGGTCCGTGCCAAATCCAGAACCTAAAAAGAAAAAACAAAAAGAAAGTATATTAAAATTTATTTCACAAGTTATCTTAGCTACCGAAATTAAACATTGAATATGCACAATGAATGTACAAGTACATGTAATTCCATTAAAAACAGAATGGCACTGCCGCGCGCGCAGCTCGCAGGCCGGCCGCTTCCGAGTCACCGGCATCGGTACCGCGCACGACCGACCGCTGCTCGCGCCCTCGGAGGCCGGCCCGCCAGGCCCAATGCGGAAAATCATGCTGCCATGGCAAAGCCATTAGATCTTGAATGTGGTTCTGTGAGAAGGAAATCTCACACCTGACTTGAAAAGAATCGTATCGTTTCGGAGTCAAGGAACCACAAAGTCACGCACGTACAGTGTACTCTACTTTTTATTCTGATGGTACGAGTCGTCTTAATTGAAGGTACGAGTTGTCCAAGGTACGAGTTATCCAAGGTACGAGATGTCCAAGGTACGAGTTGTCCAAGGTACGAGTTGTCCAAGGTACGAGTCGCCCAAGGTACGAGTTGACTCGAAAGCAATTAGAATACAGGGCCACTCCATTCTATATCTGCGCATCCATGGCTGCGTGGATATGCGCAGTCGGTTTTCTATACTATAGCGCCCTCTGTTGATGAAAATTTACTTCATGCCCACTCTGCATCCGCGCATCGAGGCATCCAATAAAGCGCCCTCTATTGATTAAAAATGTACTTCATGCCCACCCCGCATCCGCGCATCCACGCATCCAAGACGGAATGAGTGGGTAGGTTGGGGTTGGTTTTAGGTATGGAAATAAAGTAGTGGATCCTATAGGGAAAATCTGCAGAGGGTCCTGGGGTAAATAAAGCGCCCTCTATTGATGACTTCATGCTCATCCACCCCGCATCCGCGCATCCACGCATCCAAGACATCCCAAGCTGTCTCAGTCGGTATATAATACTACTCACTTGTCAATAATTTACTCTCTATAGCGCCCTCTATTGATCACAATTTACTTCACGCTCATTCACTCTTCATACCGCCCTCTATTTTGTATACATCTACGTTCATACCACTGTACATACCCGCGTACGCGTACGCGCGCATAGGAGAAGTCATACCAATGTTGCTTCGTTCTCAAAAGAGTGCCACTCAGCGACCTCACATCGCATCCAAAGTTTTTTTCTACAAAAAAAACCTTTTTCTGGCGTGGCCCAGTGGCCCTGCATTCTATAGTTGCTCCCTTTTCCTACCTCAATGTTTCACAGTCACTATGCCGAATCTCCACTTCGCCAACAACCACTTTGCCTATTTGCCACTTCGCCGAATTGTCACTTAGCTAGTCCCATAAATGTGACTGAAATACTGGACTACCTCGGTATATCAGTCACAGAGCCACGTGCGGCCTGTGAGTGGAGCGTCCCGTTGCTAGGGGAGCCGAAAATTAATTAAAGATCGAAATTATTTTGACAGCAGAAAATAAACCCAGCTACAGTATGACTGCTAAATAGCACAAAATTGTTAAATTTGGTACCTTCAGAGGTCTAGTTATCCAAAAATCATGGTAATTCGTCAGAATGCAGACGGTTTTGAGCAAGCATGGCATCGCTGATATTTACCAGACTGTTTCCCGGCCACCCTAATAAAAGTTAAGAGGCCAAAGGGGTCAGGGAACCAAACAAAAGCTTTAATCATCTACTGAGCGGCGTCCACTTTTGCAAAGCGCAAAATCTTTGAAGCCCTCTGCAGTGAAGTGCGCCTCTTGTGTGCGCTCTTCATCCGCGGTCGCGTGTTGCATCATGGGGACCATGGATGGTACGCTAGGCATGATGACCACATTGCGTCATTCAAACATTAACACGAGTTGGAAATTTAACGTGTTCACGATCACGAGGGGAGCTTTTTTTTCTTCTTCTTTTTTAGGCCATTTTGAGGGTGAAATCTGATGTTTTTGTTGGGCAATGTTGGGTTTTTGGGTCAAGGACAAAATTGTGTTGCTCGGCATATACGGATTAGCTTGGACCCTACTATTGCCATCGTCAGACCATGTCCGAATGTTAAAACGGCGATAAGTTGGGTCCAAGTTACTCGGACTAATCCCTAAGTGATTGTTTTCGTTTTGCTGAAAGAACACTCAGCTTTTTGTGATTCGTGGAGAGCACTTTAAAACAGTGGTTGTGTTTAAAATTCCGTAGTTTGTGCGGCGAAAATGTTGCGAGGGGGGGAAGAAAATATGGAACCGAGGAACTACTACGATGAGTAGACGCACACCTGTCTTCGGCTGTCTAAGAAATCAATAACTTTTCTTTAGGGATGGGGGAAATACTCCTAGATGAACCCTAGATAGCGCTGCCAACAGGCGAAATAGTTAAGGCCTAAACCTCCGGAGTATCGCCTCTCCGGTTTAGCAATTCTCGATAGCTGACATGGATCCGGGTCAAAATATATGACGAAGCGGGGAGGAGAACTTAAATAAATACAGACAGGAATCCAGAAATTCAGAGCAAAACTCGTAAGGATTGTTTAATCTTCATAGTTTTACATTATGTATTTTGCCTGTATATCGATCATTCACCTGACTCTTGAAAGAGATTTGGAACAACTTTTATGGAATTTGTGTCAAGAGATGTTTACTTGAAATGATTTTTTCTTTTACGTTGGTGAAGAGCAAAATCCATTAACCCGATATAAAACATCTATACTCCTCCAGGATTTGACTGGCCCTTCCTCACTAGTCACACAATAAAAAGCTTTCATATTTTTCTATACAGCAATTTTGTAAAGTTCAGGTGAAAAAATGTCTTCCCCTAACTACAAAGATGCCTCACCGAGGAAAGTGCTACAAAGACGAGTCAAGAAGCAAGCACAATGCAGCCAGCAAGCTGAAACAGCTCAACTACCTGATATAGAAACAGGTACATGTAGTCTCCATGAAGATGGACATGAGATTTCTACACGTAACAGCAAAACTCATGGAGGAGTGCAACAATTAGAGGACAACAATGATAATTCACAGTCAGAATCATCTGGTACAGATGCAGCATCTGCATCTTGTGGTCAAAACAAGAAAAGATGTCTTCCTAATGAACCTAAGGAATCTGCTCATAAAAGGGCCAGGCTAGCATCATCACAACCGAATGAAACAAGTTTAGCGGTTGATGGTGTCATTGAATCTGGAGGGAGTAGCAATGGAGCTGAAAGGGAATCTGATACATGTGATGGAGAAATCCTGGCTGAGCAACAACCAGAGGATGTAAGACATGATAAAGACATGGGAAGAGGTGCAAGGGGATCAGGGTGGGGACGTGGACGTGGACGTGGACGAGGGCGTGGGCGAGGGCGTGGGCGAGGGCGTGGGCGAGGAAGAAGGCAAGGTCCAGACATAATCCAAACGGGAAGTGATCATGGTAAGTAGATAAATAGTCCACAGTGCTCCTTTTGAGATACTCATTTTATTCATTGCAAGCTTTGACTCGATACAGGTGATTCAAGATACAAACCACTGGTATAGGTTTGAGGAATGCATTTACAAAATAATTAAAGGATTCCGTATTTTTGGGGTGTGGCACCCAAAAAAAAATACCTGTATTTTAAAATTAACAAAAGTTATGACTTTCTCAATGAGACATTGAACCAAAATCGGTCCATGGTGAATTATAATTAGGAGTGGGAATGCTCCTAATTCTGCTTAGACTCGACCCAAGATTGACTTGACAGCCGACTCAGGCTAAGTCTAAATTTAACTGGAGCGTGAAACAAGCACAGTATACAAAGCTCTTTTTTTTTAAAAGAAATCATTGCCTCTAAATGTTTACACAAAACTTATTCCTTTAATTAAGGACATCATAGTCTTTGAAAATTTGTTTAGACTAAAGAAGAAAAAAAATCATGGGGATACTAACTTTAATAAAAATTATCATGCACAGAGATTCAGGAGTCCAATGTAGCACCTCAGAGAAGAAGTAGAGGAAGAGGTAGGGGAAGGAGGGGCAGAACTTGCAGAGTAAGAGGAGGCAGTAGACAGTCAGGTTAGTACATGCACATGTGCAGGCATAATTAAAGTCATTGTTTTGGATAATTACAAACTCATTAAAGGGCAGTTCCATAAATCCAACATACATCTGACCACATGATGTACATACAAAGTCGTTAAGGGTGGTGGTACCTTAGTTTGGTCTGTAATTGTTTTCTAATCATTTGATGTCGCATATTTGTGATGTATCACATTCACTTTTCCGACAGCAGCTCATTAAACTGTTTGACAAGTACGTCCAAATTTAAGGAATTGCCCTTTTGCAAGGTATTTCATCCAGGAAATTTAGTGCATTTGAAATAAACATTTTGAGCCAAATATCTGCCTGTTATTTCAAAGTACCCTTCCAAATTGACCTGTCTAATTGGGGGGCCGCCTGATAGTCCGAAGGTCCGAAAGTCCGAAGGTTCTTTAGTCCGAAGGTTCGATAGTCTGAGTGTACAAAATGTCCATAAGAGGGGGTCCGTTAGTCCGAAAATGAAATAGGCCTAAGGTTCGTTAATCTGAACATATGATGCAATAGTCCGAAGGTTCATTAATCCGAAGGTTCATAACGTCGCGTCAGTGCAACAAGGTCGTAACTCCATTCTGCAATAAAGTTGTATCTCGCGCGAATATGCTCTGTGCAACAAGGTCGTATCTCGACGGCCATTGACTTTGCGTGTACATCCGGGTTATTTTAAGCGAGATATGACCTTTTGACATTCTAAAACTCGCGTTTTGCGTCATTCATGCCATTTTAGGAGATACGACCTTGTTGCACTGACGCGAGGATAAGTCCTTTAGAAGGGTCATTTATCCGAAAGTTCCATAATCCGAATTTAGAATAAGGTTAATCAGTCCGAAGGTTCAATAGTCCGAAAAAAAAATAAGGTTCAAAAGTCCGTAGGTTCATTATTCCGAATTGACAATAAGGTTCGATAGTCCGAAAAGACTATAAGGTCCGATAGTCCGAATGAACAGTTAGGTCCAATAGTCCGAAGTGTCATACTGAGGAACCGTATTGCCCATTCGGACTATCCAACTTTATTGTCAATTCGGACTATTGAACCCTACCGTATATTCGGACTATCAAACCTCATCATCTATTCGGACTATTGAACCTTATCGTCGATTCGGACTGTTGCACCCTATTGTCTATTCAAACTATTGAACCTTCGGAATAATTAACCTTATTCTATTTTCGGCGTAATGGGTCCTTTGGACTATCGAACCTTCGGACTATCGAACCTTTGGACTATTGAGCCTTCGGACTAACGAACCTTGGGACTATTGAACCTTCAGACTAACAAACCTTCGGACTATCGAACCTTCGGACTATTGAACCTTCGGACTAACGAACCTTGGGACTATTGAACCTTCAGACTATCGGGCTGTAACCGTCTAATTGACAGGTGAGTGTGATAGGTTGGCCTAGTAGTTAGGGCTTATGAGTTGTGATCAGAGGGTAAACTCCACCCCGATGGATAGTATTGTCTTCAGACTTGAAATTTTCTAAATACCAGAGAAAGTCTAAGGGTATCCTTTACCGTAAAAAAAATCATCTTGTTTTTAATTTTATTATCTTTAAACACATTTGGGTCAGGGAAATAAACACTCAAAGCAACAAATATTTTTCTTTAAAAAAAAGAACATCAGGAGTCCGATGTAGCACTTCAGAGAAGAAGTAGAGGAAGAGGTAGGGGAAGGAGGGGCAGAACTTGCAGAGTAAGAGGAGGCAGTAGACAGTCAGGTTAGTACATGCACATGTGCAGTCATATTTCTAAGTCATTCCAAACTGATTATACATCATGTATATCATCCGGCAGATATAGTGCATTTGAAACAGTTGTGACTAGATCCCACACAGTGAGTCTTAAGGCCTTTTTTAATGAATAGGTTTTCATTTTTCATTAGATACGTTCCCTAGGAAATGCTAAAGAGAAAATAAAGAAAAAGTTAAACCACTGAAACAGAATGGCATGATGTTAGTGCGAGTAAGTCCGCTGGTCTAATTGTTGTGCCATTAGAGGGCGCACTATGCACCGTCCACTATTGATCACTAGCGTCTTGGGCCAAGACTACTTTCCATAGTGCAAGATAGCTCTGGTGACTTCAGACCCATTTTGTTGGGTTGGGTCACGTATACATTTGAGCCAAAATCTGCCTGTGATTTCAATGTTTCAAAAGTACCCTTCCAATGTTCCTGTCTAATTGACAGGTGAGTGTGTAGCTGGATTAAACACTGCACTGGAGAGGGTGGCCTACCTGTACATGTAGCTAGTGGTTGGGGCTTGTGACCCATGATCAGAGGGTCAGGGGTTCAAATCCTGCTGCTGGCCACATGCTGTGTCCTTGGGCAAACCACTTTACCCACCTTACGTCTCTCCATCCAGGAGTATAAATGGTGCCAGCCAGGGTTTTCCCGGGGTGCTGCTGTGTGCGATGTGGCAAGAAGAAACTTGGCCGAGAATGGACCCTTGTTGTGTGGGGTCTGAGGCCTACTTAAGGGCCCTGAACTTTTTGTATTCTAGATGCTCTGTGATGCAATCTGAGTCATTTTGTGGCCACTTTCTTTTGACTTTTTTGAGCAGTGGCTGTCAAGATTATAATTTAAAGGTGGTGCCATGTGCCAGATACTAGGATACTTGGTCATGTATAGTGTAGGCACGCTATGGAAGCAGCAATTGCATGTCGCACCAAAACGCCCAATTGTGCCCGAAGAACTCATTGCGAATAAGCCGGAATGCAGCATTCTTGGCTTATGCCCTGACTTGCATTGTACACAATGTATCCATAAATGGGATCATTGTCACTCGTTAGGAAATCTCGAGTCGACATGCACCCAGACTCAATGACTTGCATTAAACGCAGATGGTGGAATAGGCTCCGTACTAGATACAGTATTAAGCCATGCATCAGACGTCTGTACGTACATATTGCAGTACGTACATACAAAACTAGTGTTCGTAGCACGTCAATTTCACAGAGCAGTCCGGAAAATCCGAAGGTAAAAAATAGAGACACGTTCATCAAAAAAAAGACAAAATGCGCGGATTTCTCTATTATTCATTTCTTATTCCATTTTCTTATGTGTGAGGCGGGGATATTGGCGGCAAAAGCCTTAGGTCGTCTCAAACATTTGTGAATGTTTGAATGGGGAAACACTTGTACTACCAACAACCTGTTATCTACACACAAAAAATGTACTGCCTTACCGTCCTAGGGGAATAGAAATATTCTGTCAATTCATACCAAAGATACTGTAGGTAAACTCCAGCGTGATGCGTAGTATTGTCTTCAGACTTTACATTTTCTGAATACCAGAGAAAGTCTTCTATTTTATATTTGATTATCTTCATACATGCTTAAGTCAGGAAAATAAACACGCAAATCAACAAATAGTTTTCTTAAAAACTTACAGAACGTCAGGAGTCCGATGTAGCACCTCAGAGAAGAAGTAGAGGAAGAGGTAGGGGAAGGAGGGGCAGAACTTGCAGAGTAAGAGGAGGCAGTAGACAGTCAGGTTAGTACATGCACATGTGCAGTCAAGTGCAAGCAGTTTAGAAAATTATGTAAATAAAACTTAATATTTGAGAGTAACAAGGATTTTACAAACACATCAATCATGTCGGCTACAGATTTTGGAGTAACAGAAAGATAATCACATTGTTATGTCTGTTTGTATCCTAAACCTTTATGTAGGTAGACAGAAAAGAAACCGAGAGACAGAGGAGGAGGCAATGTCTGATGACGATGACGATCTCAGTAAGATTGATGACTCTTTTGAGGCAAGTTGCCTCGGTAAGATATAAACATCTGTTTGAGTTCCGTATGATCTGATACACCGTGCCCTCTGGAGACATGCACACAATAGAGAACAAAAGATTGTATACGTCTCCACAGGGCAATTTCTATAGATGAATACGTCTCCACAAGGTTTTCACGAAATAGATACATGTATATGGATTTTACTCAAAAACTAGGAATTTCCAAGGTATGTATGATGACCCAAGATCTACTATTTGCTTTAATATGCCACCTGACTTACCTGAGAGGAAATTACGTATGGCGTATTAACATAAACATCCGTGTACTTGTTTGGTTGCAGAAACATTTCATTAAAGATCTTTTAACTGGTGAAATTAAGACGGCTTTCAGTTCCTGAAAACAAAAATGTACGGAGTATGCCCATGTACGGAGTATGCCCATGTACATGTAGTACTTGGGTATCAGTTTGTGAAAACCAATATTACGCGGTCCTGTAAAGTATGTGCACTTGCTGTGCACTCATGCACCACCGTGTGTTTTACATGGTGTTGGTGATGATATGAGCCATTAAAAATGATGTAAGTATGGAATATGTATGTAGCTCGGGAAAAAGTTGCTGATCACATCACTGTGTTGTGTGGATATTTCATCAGGTACATTATCTGCAATGTGTACCTTATATTAGAATGTCAAGATGTAGAGAAAAAAAGAAGATGAAATCAGCAACTGTACTGAGGCTTGTATGTTGCCTACATCTAATCATTTCTAATGGTCCCTGATAGATGTGTGTACATTGTATCTGACCTTCAACTAATGCTTCATTTTGTGTTGAATCTGATGCAAGATCCAGCTGATAGGAAGAGCCATGCAATACAGATTGCATTGTGGGAGAAACAGCTGCAAGAACACCGCTATGCCAAGTGTCCGTTATGTTACTGCAGACGGAGACATGTGATGTCCATCTTTAAACACTTCCAAAAGTGTTCTGCTAACAGGGTCAGTATTGTTTACATGTTTGTTTAACATGACTACATAACAGAAAAACATACGGGTACTCATAGATTTTAGAAATCCTGCCATGAAGACAGTTTCTGTATTAACCATTTATTGCCTGAGAGCTTTGTTTTCCTCTGTCATTATTAAGCAACAAGTTGTCGTTCATTTGTTTATAGTTTTGAGCTGTTTAAAAGGTAAACACCTTTTTTCATAATACATTGCTTATTTTCCTGAAATACACATCTATATGTTGAATGAAACAGGACATGTCAAAACCGAATCTTTGATGTCTATCATCTTTGGTCTATGATGAAAAGAAATTGACCATGCAAAAACAGGGTTTTAATTCAAGTCCAGGCTTTATATCACACCTACATCTCTCACACGAAAATACATGTATTAGCAACAAAAGCCCTCAGAAGGCCGCATCTTGCGTGCAAATACTGATGTGCACAGTACATCAGGCACATTACATTATTTATCTTGAATTATTGGTTTGTTTGGTTGAAGTGTACAATTTACATGTGAACAAGTGCAGAAATTGTGTGTGTTATATTTCAGCCTAATTCCTACCCATGCCGTCATTGCCAGAAAGAATTTCAATCAGCAGCTGGGCTGAAATATCACCTGCTGGCTGTGCATCAAGACATGGTATGTATGGGATCAACCTGTAGCACCAACAGACATACACGTACACATGCAAACAGACATGTCTGCTCATGGTCTGATGTGTTGGTACATAGAGTTTGAATTGGTACACCTACACATGGGCGTCGCGAGGGCCCCCCCCCCCCCCCCCCCCCCCCCGGAAAAGCAAAAAAAAAGAAGGAAAAAAAGAGGGAAAAAAGAAAAGAAAAAGAGGCGCGAAGTCATAGTGGTGTAAATTTAATGAGTTGGGAGGGGGGGGGGAATGTCCCTGCCCCCCTCTAAAACTGAGAAATCGAGAATATGTTGAGAAATACGGGATTTTTTTGGGAAAAATATGTTTTGCCCCCCTCTAGGAAAAATCCTGGCGACGCCCATGCACCTACATGTAGTGGTAATGGCATACTTTGAAATGACTTTGAATAGAATCAAATTCATATTGAAACATAGACGATGCGTTGGTTTTGTAATGCGTACAGGTTTGAAACATTTGTATTTTGTGTGCCAGTGGTAGCTCCTGACCGACGATTATTTTTGCTCCGTTAATGCATTCCGTTGATGCATTGAACTCTCAAAATATTTTTAAAGTGTCAACATATAATTCCATGATGTCAATTTGCTTCAGAAAGTAACCCTAGCTGTCGTGTATCTCAAAACATGGACTGTTGGATAAGCAAAGTGCAGTGAGGAAAGTGAGTGACTTATTTATCTTGGATTTTCTGAATCTACAGAACATGGAGGCAAGTAGTTCGGAGAATGCATCAGATGCTACAGAGCTCAGCCATGCAAATATAAGCTTAATCCTCCGCAAAGTTGGCAAAATAACTTGTCAGAATGAAGGCTGTAGTAAGAGCTTTACAACCGTAACTGGCTATCAGTTCCATCGGAAGATATGTGGCAAGGAAGCTGAGGAGATCAAGTGTACAGAATGTGGTAAGTAGGCCTTGCAAGGTTTTTGTATTTCACTCATAAACTTGGCATCATCGATATCGAAATCAGTGGGGAGTTAAGTCATTCAGTACAGACTAATCATTGGTGTTTGGTCATTCTCGGCAGAGACACAAGGTATTAATGACAACATTATGGAACAACTCTGACAATGTTCACATTGATCACATTGTCATACTACCCATTGGTTTTATAATGACCTTTTATTAATATGATTTACGTATACTATAAGGACACCAAGAATATATAGGAAGTAATGGTGATCGGTTTTATTTCAAGGATTATTTCAGTTTGGCCACGCCAGCAAGCAAAGACAATTAACAGTCAATTTCAAAGGATATTCAAGAACCCACTTGAAAAAGATGTAACCGATGCAAAACTTTTGGGAAATGAAAGGTTGGGGTTCACAATGGCAAGGAGGCCCCTCGCTGTCGCATGAGGGTGCTGTTTGCTTTTGCTGTTTCCTAAGCTTTGGTATTCTGAACATGTCTGCGTATAGTTGCCAATGCAAACTCCAGCAGAGATTGCTTAAGTTCCAAGTTGAAGCATGGACAAAGATGTACAATGAGTTTCTTGATAATAAGTGCAATGCTTCCTGCAGACTTACTTTGTGACAAATAGAATTGTTATACCTCTGTCTTGAATGGTGTCTTTTCATTGACCAAGAACAATCACGTGTTAAGTTTATAAAAATTCATGGCACACTCCCTGTGGGATATCATGTACACGTGCACGGTATGTACGGTGTGAAACGCTTGTATCGTTGGTGCCACGCTATTTTCACCATGATTTCACACATGAGTGGGAGCAGCACATGCATGTGACTTGACGTTGGATTTTCGTGATCGTTGTCTGAACTGTGCTGTTTGTTTTTCGTGATTTTTACATCAAAATCCAAAGAATCCAACACAGGTATAACAAAAGAATTGTCAACTGCTGTGATGTGGGATATGACAGTTTGAGCACCCTCTGATGGCATAGCACCCTCGGCTTCGCCTTGGATGTTGTGCGCACCTCTGGTGTTCAAAACGTCATATCCCACATCACAGCAGTCAACAATTTGACAATCTTCCACCAAAATGACCCGTCCACTTTTTGTCTTCGTTGTGGTTCATGTAAGTGTTGGATGTTCAATCTCTGGATTTTTTTTGCCATTTTTTTTATTTACTTGGATATTGTCAACGATTAATAAGTTGTGGTTGTTGAATCTACAGATAAGATATATTACAGCAAGAATGGTCTGACTCATCACATGAGGACTATCCATAGACCTCCTCCCTCTGATGAGATCATTACACCAGAGGGAGTAGGTAGAAGCAAACGAAGAGCAGCAGAAAGGTATACCTCATCTTACATCTTGCATTCTTGTCTACGAAAGGGTGATGGCATAGTGCTTTCTGATTGTATAACGTCAAAATACCATGTGACCATCCGGTTTCTCTGTGATTAGCCACCGTTGCTGTAGGCAAATACGCCATGCATTGTAAACTAGACAGTAGGGCTTACCGGTATTTTCACGTAAAATAAACACAATTTCATTATGGTCACTACCTGTGCCTTGTACAGTTGTCATAATCATACTGGCCCAGTGCTGTTTTTGTTTATTGCATGAGATGGCTATTAACATGTGCAAGATGGCTGACATGGCATGAACCCAGTAGTGACTGCTGTTTACTCATGGTTCACAGATACTAGCCAGTGGACTGTCATCTTGCTGACTGTCATCTTGATGAGAAGAAAAAAAATCAGAAAAAGTCCTGCTGAAAAATCCTGAAATCAGAAAAAGTCCTGCTGAAAAATCCTGAAATCAAGAAAAATCCTACCTACTCCCTCTGGTGTAATGATCTCATCAGAGGGAGGAGGTCTACTTTCCTCGGATTCATCTTGGAATGTTCCATGGAACACCTTGAGCAGATAGATTTACTATATCACATATTGCAGTCGATATGAATTAATTGTATCCTTCTTTATAGCTTGTAACACCACAATCTTGTGTTTATTGAACCAGAGCCCTAACCTCCATGCAGGAACTGACTCAAGATTTAGAGCAATCAACAGCAGTGGGCCAAAGAAGCAAGACAAACAAAGACAAGGATAAGGATTGGCAGCAAACCAAGGTATGTTTGTTGGATGTTTTGGTTGTTGTATTATAAATGCCAGTTTGATATTTACTTTGAGTCAGCTGAGATGTATATCTGTTGCTATAAATTGTCTTAGTCCCATAACCCTCCTATGCAAACATACATTCTGTGCCAAGTAGTCCTTTCATTCAAAATCAAGTGACCGTTTTCAACAGTTAAGAATTTCCTGCGTATATAAAGCAGAATGGACTGTCTATAACTGTTTAGCTCATGACTAGAGCGACGTCTGAAAACAAGTCGCTACTGAGTCGTTCTAATGACTCCGACAGTCGATCTTTGGCCATCTAGTGCATCCAGTCAGTCCTAATTGTTTCAGACATCGTACTTTTCATGTAATTAATGCATAGCTGCCAACTAGTACGATTTTTTCGTAATTATTACGAATTGTTTGTTAAATTACGATTTGCCACTAAAACATTACGAATTTCCCATTTTCTACCTAACGAAAAAAAAAATACTTGTAAAGTATCGTTTTTGACCGAAAACTTCTGGCGAAATGTCGCGATAATGGATGGACTGGTGACAAGTCTAATAAGAATGCAGTCAAGCACCTGATAGACATCAATGCAGTGTGCGCAGTGGAGTACTTGAGGACCAGACTAAAAATATTTTTCAATGGTGTGTCATTTGTGTGCATCTCGTGGATGTGTGGTTGTGTGTACTGTATGTGAGTACTTTTCAGTGACGATCGTGAGCACATTTAGTCGCTTATTGCCGGGATGAGACCCATCAGTGCGAGATTTTAATCATGGAATTTAATAAGAGTATGGTTGGAATAATTGGTAATAGAGTTTGAGTTTGTCACAACGGACAGAAAAGATAAATCAGCATGCGTTTGCAAGGTATGTTGGCGGGATATTTCTATTGCATACGGTGGCCCTAAATCATTGTGTGTAAAAACATGATACGAACTCGAAACTCCACATCGATAGCATGCATCTCAAAAAAAATATGCGCACGTTATTATTGTTATTATTTATTTGACTTCAACAAACAAATACAGACATTAAAACAAAATTAATTAAAAAAATTAATTAAACATGTGTACATGTAAACCATGTACCTGTACTCGATGTTGGTAAAGCTTTTGATAAAACGAGCAGTTGAAAATGACCGCGCGGGTTGATTACTAATTGGGATTTTGAAAAGTTGGCAGCTATGTTAATGCAAATCTTGCCTTTAATTTGATTCGGCGTGGCTCTAAAATGCCTGTCTGAACCAGGGGTAAGCCTTTCTGTACAACGTAGTCTGCCCAAAACGAGATATAGTTTTCAAAAAATTGAAAAGTTGAATTCCTTTTTTATACAGTAATTTGTATTATTGCTCAAGAGTGACAGAAGCACTTTTAATGCAGTAGTAGAGATTGCACTTCTTCTACTTCTACCTCTACTTTGATGCTTGGCAAGGTCCCCACATCCGCATATCACACCAAGGTTGCACGTAAGACTGATGAATAAGTAAGGTTGACTGAGGACAGTTTTGAATTGGGAAAAGAAAGCAGAGGTGACTGATGCAGGGAGGTTGTTCCAAGTAGGTATTGTTCTTGGAAACAAGGAGTATTTGTAGACGTTGGTGCGAGTAGATATGTGGCTATACTTAAACTGATGATAACCGCGTGTTCCTGGGGCTGCTGGAGTTAGAAAGTTATGCAGGCTGAAAGATAATTGGTTGTGAGAGATCCGGTACATTGATGATAGTCGGGCGTTTCTTCGACGGGTTTCCAGTGACTCTCATTTCAATTCCTTGATCATAGAAGACACGCTTTCAGTGGGGTGATATTTGTTGAGAACGTACCTTGCAGCTTGTCTTTGTATAGCTTCTATTTTGTTGATGTTGGTTTTTGTATACGGGTCCCATATACAACTGCAGTATTCCAGACACGGACGTACTAAGGCAATGCATGCGCGTCCCTTGAGGTCCTTGGAGCAGTGCTTTAATATACGGTGACAAGACCCAAAATCTTGCTGGCGTCATTAGTAATTTTGTCAATATGTTTGTTCCAAGAAAGCTTTTGTGAGAAGTAGAGGCCCAGATAGGAATGTTCTGCGACAGCTGTCAAAGCATCCAAACCTAGTCTGTACAGTCATGTGGTTGCTAAGGCAATATGTCTGGTGTTGTTAGGCAAAGCTAATCCAATTACGTACTTAGACAAGAGCAGTGAAATCCATGCACCCAAAAAAACATGGTCTTTTGAACGGTGTGTTTCTCAGAAAATATGCTCAGTATGATTGAAATGTTAAATTATAACGGAAGACGACATTGTAAACTTCATGTCAGTGAACAAATCTCGGTCATTGATGCCGAAACGTCAATACTGGTTACTGGTAAAGCTGACCTTCATGTCTGGAAGAAATTGTTCAAAAACTTCCCCAAATGAATGTATTAACCTCATTTTCCAGGAATCTCTCCAAGTTGTTATTTTACGAGTAGTTCAACACTTATATCATCTATAAGAATATTCTGAATTTCAGCTTAATCTGTTGTAAACACTAGTCTACCAAGTAGAATCATCTTCATGGAAAATTTCGACGAGAATTTTCCGCATACACAACTGACCAGCATTGTTCGCAAAGCACCGTAGCCGCTACGGTTGACCGATTCCGGCCAAGCGATGGTAGATTAGCATATTCATTAGCGTCACTTGGCGTGTTTTGGCGTCGGTCTCGGTATCGACCAATGGAAGCCGACAAAAAGGGTGATATTTATCGATTAATAACTCGTGAAGGAGGCTTTTCTCCAAATTTATACTGCGTACCATAATGAATAGGAACCTTAGTAATATTTGTGAGTCTTGAAAAGATTAACAGATATTGCAAATGCTAGTCTACCAACTTTCAAAAGTGCACGTAGCCGGGCCTATTTTTCCAATCTTCAGCAGTGGCGATTGTTCTGTAGAGTAAACAGTCATCTGCGAAGAGATGAATACTAGACTGAATCGAGTCCGGGAGGTCATTGATGAAGGTGAGGAAGAGGAGGGGCCCGACAACCGTTCCTTGAGGAACTCCTGAACTGACATGGCACCAACTTTTTGATGTCGATTGAAGAAAGACCTGAAGCCACTTGTGGAGGTGGTTTCAGACACCGTAATGATGGAGCTTGAAGAGGAGTTTCTTGTGGGGGACCTTGTCAAAGGCCATGGAGAAATCTAGTATGATGGCGTCAACTTGTTTTCGCTGGTCCATGGCAGTAGCGATATCATTCACTGTCGTGATTAGTTGAGTTTCACAGGAGTACCCTGGGCGAAAACCGTGTTGAACTGAGTTCTAAATGTTATTTTCTCTTTATAATGATCCATGATGTGGCTGAAGACAATATGCTCAAGCTTTTTGGGACATATAGAAGTGATGGAGACTGTTCGGTAATTTGAAGGTTTCGAAGGATCCCCTGTCTTGTAGATTGTGACACATTTCCGATGAGCCAATTTTAGCAAGAACAGGCGCTATAGTACTTGCATGTTGCTTGAGTATTCTTGCAGGGAGGGCTATCTGGACCGGTAGCCTTTGTAACTTCAAGCGACTGCAAAAGTTTAAGAACCCCTTGCTCAGAGATAGTCAGGTTAGCAATTTCTGGATGTGAATGTCTACCAGTGGAAAGGGGACATGTTGTGTCGTCCGTGGTGAAAAGTGATTGCACAGGATTAATTGTTGGATATTAATAAGCTGAAAAAAAGCAATCTTACTTTTTTTTTTAAGTCCATTCATCATGCTCTCTGTGTGCTGCATACACATAGAGTCACAGACACATTAGCTTTTAGGTATGTTGATAGATGTATAGTCTTGTTTGTATACCCAAGAATACTTGGCTACGTTTGGCTACCTCATGTACACAGTTTGTTACAGAATCAACCAAACATACCCAAGCAGCTTATTGCAGAATATTTTGTTTGTAACTATTCTCTCCAACTGGACAGAAAAAGAAGAAAGATCGAAAAGTCCAGGAAGACAGAGAGGATGAGGATAGTAGCAAGTCATCTGATGAGGAGGATAGTAATGATGACAACACTGTCAGTGATGGAGATAGTGACAGTGATGCTGGTGAGTTGTTGAGATTTCATCTCAATGTCATACATCACTCACATTAAGTTAAATGTCTTTGAAAACTATCCATAAATACCTAAGACAGTTTACCCATTCCTATTGGTCGAGAGCCCGTCGCCTGGCCGGTCTTAAACGGATGATAAAGACATGGCTGGCTGGTCTTAAACACTTTTCCAGGGTCACGTGAAATTTGGATTCCTAAAAATCCAGTGCCTCTTACCGTTTTATTGTTTGAACATTCACAATCCTCAACTAGGCATGCTCAATACTACCAGTGAGTCAGTATTTTATAGTCCTAAATTCACAACGCAACGCCCCGAATGCATTGCTCTGAGAAATCGCGCAGTACGCGCGACGCGTGCGCCAATCTCTGCAAAAGGAATTGTTTTACATCTTACTCGCGAGCTGGACACTCGATTATTAGCTAGAGGGGTGTTTCACAAAACATGAAGTGAACTTGTTGAACAAAATCGGGGTTTTTTGACCGAAAGGTTTTGATTTTTTTGACCGAAAAGGTATTTATGAATGGGAATAAATATGTGCTTGGTCGGTATTAATCACTCCGTTTAAGACCACTTGGAGTCTGGGTGCTGATAATTACCCGAGCCGAATATCAGCACCCAGACTCCAAGCGGTTTTAAACAGAGTGATTAAAACCTCTCAAACGCACATTTATTCCCTTAGTCATCTACTCCATTATGATCCATTTATCCATTATGATCCGTTCATCTTTCCCTATATCCACTTCCACAGTCTCCATATCCGAATCTGCATCTTTTGTGTCTTCATTCTAGTATTTATAGTCGGGGGTCTCAGCTCTAGCGTCAGAGTCCCTGTCCTTACATTTTAGAGAGTTTTGCCCCTAGTGATGTAAAAATGGCAGCACAAGAAGATATTATGTCTTTAGGCCCAATGTTGTGACATCACATTTGGAGTTGTGTTTAGCCCATACCTTCTCACAAGAAGCATTAATTAGTGGTGTGAGAAATCAGAGATTTCACAATCAGGAAGTTCCCATCCAGCTCACAGTCATGCCAACAAGAAGTGAGGAGTGAGTTGCCACATGCAATGCCCGCTCAGTGACTGGGTATAGTTTGCAGGATTCAATGACCATATAGGGCCTATACAAAAACACTCCACAGCTGTAGTGTTGGGGGGAAAATGGATGGGAACTCTCTGATAAGTGGAATGGGCATCGCAGGTCCTCAGGTCATTGTTATTTCAGGCAACACATTGTCGAAAGGCCATTGGCAACAAGGATAACTAGGTACAATGTACATAAAAATCACAGTGTGATTATATGAGCAACTTACCGGGTATGAACACACAGGCAGCAGAGCAGTCTTGTAGTATAGCAGTTATTAGTCACAAAGACAAGCAAGATGTGTGCTATGTGAACTAGCGGGACATGTTTGGGGGGAAAAAATTAGCAGAAGTGATGCATTTGATTTCATGATGATTTGTAGCTCTGAACGCATTTAATGACGGGTACATGTCTCAATCTGATCAGTGATTGCAGTATCCAAGTCTGTGGTCAAGTCTTAGGCCTTCATGTTCTTGTACAAGTCTCAGACCATCAAGTTCTCTCATTCTTTCTATTCAGTACTTACTATTAATACTAATAACCATTGGGACTTGTACACGTGGACTTTGTAATAGGTATTTTATGTTGGACATTATGTTTACAGACAGAAGACAAGGCAATTGCACGTACTCTGATGTTGCAGCAGACATACCAGACTTGATGAAGATTGCACACACAGAGTAAGCCTGTTAATGCCAAGGGCGGATCCAGAACACAATTTTTGGGGGGGCCAAAAAAATTTTGGTCCTCCAAAAAAGTGGGGCCAAAAATTACGGCGTGGGGTTCGGGGCCCGCTAAAGGGCCCCGAAAAATTTTTGGATTCTAGATGCTCTGTGATGCGATCTGAGGCAATTTCTGACCACTTTAACCAATGTTTTTTTGAGGAAAAGATGGTGGTGTACTCATTGCCTGCCTTTTTTGCGATGTCACATAAAAAATATAAAAAATGGTTTCGTTTGGGGGGGGGGGCCATGGCCCCCTTTGGCCCCCCCCCCCCCCCCCCCCTGGATCCGCCCTTGGTTAATGCTGAGATTCTCACAAGGTTATTCAAAGAGTTACAATTCCTTCTGGCACCACAAAACATCACAGCTGTAAAATGATACAGTTTCTAAAGGTTTCATCAATCAGTATCTTAACTTGTTAGTGCAGTGTGGAATATCCCAGTCGCTGTCCAGTTTCCTTCAACTTGTTTAGCTGAGTTAACAGCATTCATTTCTGCCTATCATTAATTCTGCACACCCCCTAGGGAGTTAGGGTCAAGAGCTATGGAGACACATTTTGAGTGTAATCATTCCAATCATGCACTGTACAGTCGACTCATGTTAGTACAAACACTATTAATACAAACTCTAGTTATAACAAACATAAAGTCTTGGTACCGTCTGTACACAATGAATGGGACTGATGTTCCTCTTAATACAAAGTTCTGATATAACAAACATTTTGGCTAGGTCCGGCAGAGTTTGTATTAGCAAGAGTGGACTGTACTTTGTTTCACTGTTTGTGAGTAGCCAATCAGAGATGATGAGTTGAGGATGTTCAGTCAATTGATGGACATTGACGATAGCTTTCTTGGTTGCTTGGTTACTAGGAGGATGCATAGGTTTGATGCCTGTAAGAAGCATGCTTCAGCAGCTGAGGTATTCAAAGTGGATTGGTCGTCGTGGACTTCACTGTCACAAAGGTAGTTGTACTAACAGCTCTTTTGGTAGTTGTGAAAATATGTAAGAGACATTGTAATTTCAGTTTCATTTGATTGGCAAAGACTTACTTTGTACGCAGTAATGCATGCCAAAATGTTGGACAGTACCCCCTTGAGTATAAAAGTCTAATAATCATAAGTTAACAAGTAGGGAAGATATGTACTGCCACTTTTTTGAGGGTGAAAAAAGATCGTCCCATTCCTCAGGTGTGTATTAAACACCCTAAAAAAGAAATATAAAAAAGAACAATCAACCAGGCACCATAACTATTAAAAGAAATACATGTATAAGTAGTTTTGGGGAAAAAACGATTCAAGAAAAGAACAGCACCAAAGCCACTCATTTCAAACTTCATTCATAAATACCTGAAACAGTTTACCCATTCCTATTGGTCAAGAGTCCATCACATGGGTGGTTTTAAACACATGACTGTCTTAAACACAATTCCTGCCTTTTACACCACATCAAGCGGCACACGCCCATTTCCATATCAGGAGAGTTTTAGCACTACAATAGGCTCAAACCAGAGACACGGTCACGTGGCCAAAGGGGTGTGTGGAACAAAACATGAAGTAAATTGGTGAACAAATCATTGGAAATTTTTGAATTTGTGTTTTTTTTCCCGTCTTTTTGACCGAAAGGTTTTTACGATAAGAAGAAACATTTGCTTGGCCAGTATTAAACAAGTACTTTTTAAAGCAGCTAGGGGCCATGCCCAGATAATGGCCTGAGCCAAACATTCACTCATCCAGGCCCCTTAGCTTAGAACCGGCCAAGCACATATTTGTTCCCTTATTTGAAAATAACAGCGGAAGCCTTCAGGAATGGTGTAAAGCTCACATACAGGTATAAATTCCACTTTGTCATGAACACTGCCACCTAGTATGAAACTGTTCCACCGCCCCCCTCTCCCCCATGCATATTACTTCATAATAGTTCCATCATCTTCCCCCATGCATTGAACACACATTGATGTCCATGTGGGTGGCCTATATTTCAGTGTGTCTTTTCTTGTTCCATTCTGCAGTGAATCTTGCCAGTATTTGCCAGAACGTAAGAGATCTTTCCGGTTTACATCAGATGCAAAGAAAGAACCCTCCTCACTGGAGTTATTTCAAACCTCTAGCTCCTCCCCAAAGGGTAGGTGATTAGGCCAAAAAAAAAATTCTTCTGCTTCCGATTACATGCCTTTCAAAAATAGGGTCGGTCGGAAGATTGTTTTTTTTGCCCATTTTTTGTTATGCAGATTGATGGGTACGTATTCAATTATATGCAAAGTTTTAGCCTGAACTATTTGCATTGCACTACGAAAGCTATACACAAAATGGCCATAAAGTGAATTAAACCTACCTTAATTATTGTAAATATATTTACGTTCGATAATTCTTAAAAAATAATGGAAAATTCAAGTCATTCGCAACTTCGCACCATATGTAAAACGCTAGTCAAGACCGGAAGCTGGGCAAAACTCCAAAAGTGTGTGATGCACTGTGCATGTGTGGCGCACGGCCGACAGACCTCGTTTTTACAGTCGAAAATTTTGGGAAACACGCTGCATTGTATCACTCCAAATACGAGTAGTGCGATCTCAAAATGAACTCTTGAACACAGAAAATACATACACAGACAAGGTAGATCAATTCTGTCAATTAACTTGCATGCTAGCGCTATCGATCGCATAGCCATGCACAGACTGGTTACCACATTTTCATCATGTCTTCTAAATTGGCCCCTGTGCGGCGCGGCGGGAACCAGTCGCTGCATTGATTATCCACCGCTGCATTGATTATTTACGCACGTGATTATCCACCGTGATTGCGAAGTAGTTATATCGCGAAGAGAATTTGTACGAATAACAGAGGTTTCTTTTGAAAAAAAATAGCGAATGTAAGTAAGAAAACAAATAAATACAAGCATTTTTTGACGCAAAAGGGTTGTTTGCATACACAAAAAATAGCGAATGTAAGTAAGAAAACAAATAAATACAAGCATTTTTTGACGCAAAAGGGTTGTTGAGAGGTATTTTGTGAAGACAGAAAAGACAAGATTTTATTTTTATTTATTCAATCATTTTTTTTTTTTTTTTTTTTTTTGGAGGGTCGCAGCCTAAAAATAGGGTCCGTCGGGTAACCGGAAGCAGAAATATTTTTTTTTTGGCCTTACTTGTCAAATAATGGAATACACTTCATGGGTATCATGTAGGTGTATAATCTAGCTTACATGTATGTTGGACCATGGATATGGACCATCCACCCTCAAACCTCAGGCCAATTTTTTTAAATACTTGGATTACTGATTTTATTTTGGTTCCCTGGTTCGGAAGGCGAGCAGGAAATTACAACAACAACAAAAATCACACGTGAGGGCGCCAATAATGTTGTGCCCAGTATTCCGACACGAAAGTGCTCAAATGAAATGTCATTCTGTCTTGCTGCACAAACTTACCAAAAGTTGCCAGGGAATTTTAGGGCGGCAGTCTTTATTTTTTTATTTTTTAAATTCAATTTTCTATTTTTTTTTAGGGGGAAGCGGCAATTCCGTTATCCTAGTTTTAAAAAATGGCCTTAATGTCCTTGCTTTAAATTTTGATTATTGTTATTATTAAATTTCGTGGAGATCACCAGTAAGGACAGTTGTGCCAGTCTATTACGGCATACATCAAAATGGCGACCGGCGGTGCTCGCTTTGCAAATTTAACCGAGGAGGAAGTGGGTCAAATTTTACACAATAGTAATAAATCCAGTGTTGTGTGTGAATGTTGAATTAAATTGAATTAATGTTTCACTTTATCCAAATACTGCACGATCAAAAACATGGTGGAATGGAACAATGAAATACTGCAGCTGCCTGATGAATATTGATGAGGTATAGTAAAACAAATACAACATGATTTTGCGGGGAAATAGTGAAAACAAACGATCCCTGGTTGTTGGATCATCCAACACCTTGGGGTCATTAGTTTTCACTATTTCCCCCACAAACCATGGCCAAGTTCGGGCAAGGACCATTAGTCGACTAGTAGTTGATTTGTGACGTACCTTACGCCTGCGCACTAATAGCAACATGCGAACGTCTCTAGTCGAACGCTGGTCAAAATGTCATCGCAAAACTTCTGGATCCTGGCTCTCTGCTAGCGTTATGAATGCGCGCGGCTATTGGTTACCAGCGAAGCAACCAACCCCAGTAGGTTGGTTCCAATAAGTCGACTAGCGTAGTCAACCACCGTCGACTAGACAGAGTTCGGGCAAACTCTAGTTAACCATTGGTCAACTATAGTCCTTGCGCGAACTTGGCCCATGTTGTATCTGTACTATCCCATACACCAATTAGTGTCCAGTAGGAAGTGATAATGTAGTGCACATCCACAGAAAGAATGACACATTTCCCAATTCAACTGCATGTGATATTTTACTCACACAGGCACATCCAATCGGTGTTTGAATCTGTTTGTTGGTGGACCTATTTGGAGTATTGCCTGGTGTCCACACCGTGACGATGTATCTACTGAGACTGAATATGCCGCCATTAGCTGTCATCGATCACACAATGTGTATCATTACACTACTAAGACGTATCACGGGCCTGGTGCTGTGCAGCTGTGGTCATTTGATGGACTACACCAAGTCAATCAGTATGTTATTGATGCATCAAGTCAGACAGCGTATACTGAGTGCACTAGGCAGCAGTATAGACCATTAGTCTATGGTTTCTTATCTCGCCTGTGGAAAACCTGTTCACATCCTCAAGCTTTGTTTGTCAACAAATTCGTCATAAGTTGTAGACAAACCTATGCATGAAAATACTTCACTCAGTGAAAGAGAACCTTTTTTATTTACTTGTACATGTATGTGTATGAGTATTTCTAAATACTGCAGTGTTGAAGATACTTTTCATTCTCACAAAGTAACTATCTACCCATGCCTCACATCCAAGCTTTATGCACGAGTTGGCCATATTAAATTGAAAGCGAGGTAAAATCTTCATTTTTGAAACTTGTAAAAAGAAATGAAAGCAATGAAATAAAGTAAACTACAAATTAATACCAGTCTGCTCTGAATTTATAATTTATGATTAAACATACCCTAATGTGTAAAGCCACATTTAAAAAAGAATTGAAAGTGAGGCTTGGAATGCATAAATAGTCTGGCACCATCCCATTCAACAGTTTACAAGGGCTATTTACACATACGTGATTTTGTCGCAACAACTATGTCGCGCGGCAATGTCGCCCATGTAAGTGAGTGATTGAACAAATACGCGATACATGTATGTTGCATGATTTTTTTAATTAGCGCTCTAAGTCGCATTTCTTTGTTGCGTAAATTTAAATGCGCTCATTGATTTGTGCGTATATATAAAAATACGCGACATTATCACGCGTCAAAATCACGTATGTGTAAGTAAAATTCAGGGAACACGATCAAAAATTGGCTTGCTGGTGAATAAGCTCCATGGCAGTGATTGTTGTAATAATGTTATTTGCTTAACCTGCTATCACAATAGTACATTTACAATTTTGGAAATTCTCTTGCACAGATCGCAGGCAAGTTGTCAGCTGGTGTGCTGTATGGCACATGACTATGGCTGCATATGGGACATGAAGTGGTGTCCTTCAGGCTGTTGGCAGACAGACTCATCTAACGTGACTGAGTCTGCAAGTACTAGCAGACTAGGACTATTGGCACTAGCCTGCTCAGATGGCAGTGTACGCATTCTCAATGTCCCTCATGCTGAGTGTGTACAACAACTCAAAGAACCAGGACTAAACCCAAGTAAGATATGAATAATTAACAATTGATGACTGTTGCAATGTGGGAATGCGGTTTTTAACAGCCAAGGGGCGCATATTTGCCTTGGGTGCTATGCGCTTCGAGGGGGTTAAAACGTATTCCACATCACAGCAGTCAACAATTGTTTTGTTATATCGTGCCAATAACTCAAAAAGATAAATTAAATTACTGTGATGTAACCTTTGATAACTGAAGGTTTTGATGTCCTGCCGGACATGAGACTGAGCGTTTGATGTTGCAGTTCTCGTTACACGAAGCTAGCGCGCCGGCAGGTTCCACACGTACGTGCAATGTTCAATGAATGCAGTGCGATACCACCCTCAGTGTGTGACATGCATTTTTATTGTCCAGACACGTGGTTGCCCTAGACCAATGAAATTATAAGCACACGATATAACAACATCAAATGTGCTGTATGTGTGCTGTATGTTCATATACTTTATATATTGATTTAAAGTTTGACACCTTTTAGGCATATTCGCTGGCCTTACATAAGATTTAATATACGTTTTTCTTCTAAACTGTTTATTGCAGCTGTGCTAAGAATGCAATCATCAGTTACTCTGCGACCTCAGCATCAGGATCTCTTGGAGGAATGTGCTTCATCATGTGGTCAGTGTTGGTGTGTAGACTGGGCACCAGACAATGGCCATACCAAAATAGCTGCTGGATTTTCAAACGGTACTATCAGATATATATTGTAGTTCTATATATGTTAGGAAATGACTTTGAGCTGACTAGTTTTAGTTGAATGTTTTTCTGGCACCTGTAGTTGCTACATTTAGTCCTGGGTTCAGAGAAACCATTAGTGATAAAGTATCATGACGAAGGACACCTGCACCCAGTAGGCTCAGTGACTGGGTCTTGTGGTCATCGACACTAGTAAGGAGAGGCTTGTGGGTTGGAGTTTCATCAAAGCCTGGTATCACACTCTATCCAACACCACTGAGTGTACAATCCTCATATCAACTAAGTATGATCAAGGATGTGCATCTCCTTGGTGCAACATTGCATTAGTATTCAATGCTGTTATTGTTTGGCTTATTTCGCAGGTGCTGTTGCATTGTGGGATTTATTAAGCCAGAGCCCATTACTGCATGTGTCGGGATCCTGTGGGGTATATACATTGCCATACTGTTTGTATGATGCACATCATGCTAGGGTGACCGGCCTTTCATGGTGTCCTTACGGTAAGTTTATGATTAGTCAATGCTAACACCATTTATGATACTCATTTCAAGTATTCCCATAAATCTGTCCTATGCTGTATGTGATGAAAGAAGCCAGGATTGCATAACAGTATTATCACAGTGAAGGCTACCTAGTTTCTTAGGGAGCAGCTCAGAACACCATACAATCCTGATGTTTGCGATCATCTAGACTATTTGGGTGCTGTATGTTTCATAAACCTGTGTGCGTGCACAATGTGTCCCTCTCATTAGAGTTCTTGAGTGTGGTCAGGTACTGTTCATCAGTGTTGTAGGACTCGAGTCAAGGACTCGGACTCGAGTCGGACTCGAGTCACATTTTTCCTTGACCCGGACTCGACTTGAGTCACATTGGAAAATTACTCGGACTGGGACTCGACCATGATGACTCGGACTCGAGCTTGGTGACTCGTGACTCAAGTCACGTATTTTCATCAAGTAAAAAACATAACTTTACGTATTTGTGCGACGAACGTAGCATTCTTTTTTACTCCACAGACAAAACACGGCGCCGCAGAAAATCATATCCAGGGGCAGCCCACGCACGCCTAGCGCCTGCACGACGAGTGTCCGGTACCAAAGAGTGTCTGCTTACTGCGCATACCGGTCGCACGCTATAGTCAAGAGTGCAATATTCTCGACAATGCTATACTAGGCGGATGCTACTTTGCATTACACCGGATAGGCTTAGTACATACATAAATATCGCGTTATTTTGGGAAACCATGGGAAACTAAAAATAAGTGTCACCAATATGAATTTTACAATTTTAGGATATTACTTCAATGCCCCCACCAAAATCAGTCAGAACTATAACAAGGTGTTCAGAATATTGGCACAACATTTCAATTTAAGACTTTGTAATCAGGAAGTATTCATGCAGAATGGGGAAGAAAGTAAGGGCATGTAGGGTTTTCTTGGCACTGTACACTGGGAATTAAAAGGAAAACATATTTTGGGTCTAAACAACATGTACACACACAGCCATATGTTTGCGAAGGGCGATTTCTAAAGGTTTATATTGAATGAAACTACATGTTCACGTTGGCGGGTGAAATCTTTGAAAATTAATTTCTCCCGTTTGGAAGACTGTGTCTTCATGCAACTTTCAGGATTTATTTCCCCTATAATGATCCAAGTATGTGCTAAAAGTCGTTGTGATATGTTCATTACTTTTCGTTGAAATTGGAAAAATATGCCTGGCTACGTGCAATTTTGAAAATTGTAACACTGGCGTGCACAATATCTATCAATCTTTGCAAGCCTTGTGACTCGAGACTCGGACTCGGACTCCAGGCTTGTGACACGACACTCGGACACAGACTCTTGGCTTGTGTATCGAGACTCGGACTCCAGGCTTGTGACTCGAGACTCGGACTCGACTCAAGGCTTGTGACTCAAGACTCGGACTCGAGGCTTGTGACTCGAGACTCGGACTTGGGGCTTGTGACTCGAGACTCGGACCGAGGCTTGTGACTAAAGACTCAGACTCGAGGCTTGTGACTCGAGACTCGGACTTGAGGCTTGTGACTCGAGACTCGGACTTGAGGCTTGTGACTCGAGACTCGGACTCAGACTCGAGGCTTGTGACTCGAGACTCAAACTTGTGACTCGCGACTCTGACTAAAGGCTTGTGACTCGAGACTTGGACTCAGACTCAATGCTTTTTACTCAATTAAAAGGCTTGTGACTCGAGGCTTGTGACTTGAGACTCGGACTCGAGGCTTGTGACTTGAGACTCAGACTCGGACTCGGACTTGGTGACTCGACTAGAACACTGCTGTTGATGTACAGAGATCATGGCACAACAAGTCATATCAAATAATTACTCACTTTTAGAGCTCAAGAACCTATATCAAAAAGGGATCTATATTCATTAGGTCTTGTGTATTAATATTCATGTAGCTTTATACTGCAAAATATGTTGCTGCAGCTTAACATAATACCATGAAAAGGTTCCACCTAAATTCTTCTTACAGTGTATTGTACAACTGTTTGGATTGAATTCCATCACAGATGCTGACTACATAGCTACAGTTTCATCTGATCGTTTCATGATGTTATGGGATGTACGTACACCAGACGTAGCACTGACTAAGGTTATACATGCCCCACATACTGGCTGTAAATGGATGAACTACTGTAATGTAGTGGCTGTCACATATGACTTCAAAGGGTAATTTTTTTCATGTCGACAGACACGTATACTAGCTTGATTTCATCAGGGTAGCATTTTCAGTCATTTAAACTGATGTTCTTAAGGGCCATGATTACATTAAACTTACTTATTGAATGAAGTTAAAAAGGTATAAAGAAACCAATGAAAACAGTAAATGGACAAAAATTCTTTAAAAAAAAAAAAAGTTAAAAAAAGAATTTAAATAAAATGTATGTAGAATACAAAATCTATGCAATAAATTCAGGATATGAGTTAATCAAACTTTGGCATATTCTCTTCTGGACAGACTGTTTTGTACCATAAGGCACTCATCAGCAGAATGACACAATATAGAATACAAAATATATATAGAAATCAAAATTTACGTAAAATTAAACATGTGCAAAACAAAACGAAAATAACAGGACCAAAAGTATTAAAAACAAAGGAAAGAGCATTGTTCAAAATCAACATTAACCCTAATCCTGCTAAATGCAACAGAATGCACCAGTGGTAAAAAGGTGTTGCAAGTTGTTGCATTGAGCAGTGTCCTGATCTGATGCATTCCACCCCTGCATTCCAGTGCATTTAGCAGGGTAGGTAAGGCTGGCATGTATTATTTCACTGCATTCTGTTGCATTTGGCAGGGTGCCTAGAGAATACCCCATGGGGTTAGGGACAAAAAGCTAGCACAATGAAGTTAAGAGCTAAAAAAGCTAGAAAATACATATGAATATTTATAAAAAGTAAACAAAAGTCATTAACATATATAATTATGAAACAACCACATTTCTGAACGAAGGGAATAAATATTATGAACATGTCCAACAAATAATATTAATTTTAAAATTAAACTTAAAGTAGCAAGAAACAAGCACAACATATAACTACGCCCCCAGCATATTAACTGTCAAAAATAGAGCCATTACGATCATGCATGGAAAATATCAAAACAGGACAAAAAGGTAATTTTTAAATGAATGAGTAAGAACTGAAACAGTTAAAACAATAATCAACAAACTAAAAAATAAAGTGATGATAGGAAGAAAGAACGAAATAATTTAAAATCATGCATAAAGTAGTGTTTTAAAAAAATATTTTAAATAAAATAAACAAATAAAAGCAACTAGACTCACTCAAAATAAAAGTTTGACATACATGTATCTGGAAATGTAAGAAAGTCTATAAAGTTTTAGGCCATCAGCCTGGGGGTTCGGTCAGTATCAAAGCAGGGCATAAATGATTATAGTGCGCATGCGCAAGGTATACCGCCCCTAGAGTGGTAACAAGCATTTTGATGGACATTTTGAAAAAAAGGGTGATAACACCCAAAACGTTGCCACCGCTGCAAACCTATCACATATTTCCCAACTCTGGAGGTGTATACCTTGCCAAAAATCGCTTCTCATATGCTCATTTTACAGCATTTTTATGGGAAACTATCCAGACTTAGATAGATTTGAAGGTTTGTATGGTGATAGCAATAGGCTAAAGATTTATGATAGCACCATGCTACAGTCAATCTTGACCCTATATCAAGAGATTAACCTTTGTATTTTATGGGTGTGACATTGATTATCCTTATCCTCATGTTCATTATAAAGCATACAATCGCTGACAATTTCGTGTCTATTTGTGTACAGTGACCAATCACACAGGATCATTTGCCATTGCATTAGAGGAAGAGGGCCAGAGATTCAATCCTGGAGTACCTCCACTCAACAGACAACGGACTGGGTGAGTATGCAATGCTAGCCTGGGCCCAGGCTGCAGCCCCAACCAGTGTCCTGATGACGGGCTCACAAATTGCACTTCAAAATTAATAACTATCGATCCAAGTCTTATTTTCTAGTGATTTTGAAAGTTGGTTGATCTATTGTCAGTTATAGTTTTTTGTCAATCAGTTATTGTCAATTGCATGTGTTTGTTTAGTTGTTTGTTATTGAGGGCATTGTTTGTAGTGAAGATTCTCCCTATTCCCCATTGTAAACATGACCCTACCACATCAGTGACAGTTGACAATGTGAGGAATTTTTTGGCAGTGTGATTCAACACTGTATGGGTTGATGGTCAGTGGTTAAGTAGATTGAGCACTTTGGTTTGAAGTTGTTTAACCAGTTTGCGCCGGATGACATGTATACCCGCAAAGGTTTTGTGGTATTCGGAACGGATGACAGATAAACATGCAGGGAGCGAGGCCGGAAATATCTGTCAGTAACCCGCTCGCAGCAAGCGAGGCTGGAAATGTGAGTGTGCTGCCCAAGGGTGATGGCTTCAACCCGCCTGGCTTGAGGTCGAGTGAAAAGTAATCCCGCGCCTCGTTCTGTTCTTGTCAAAATAATCCTGGCGTGAACTGGTTAAATGCTCAACCAATAACCAACAGCAAAAGCAAGTTGCTAATGACCACCACAACATGCCCCTGCTGGATTGCTCGTACACCGTTGGAACAGTAGTCTTTTTAAACTATAATTCATGATTTTTCATGAATGTGAGGTATAGAGGACCAAGTTTTAGGTAAAGTGTTTATATGTGTGTTGCTTTAATTTTAATTTTGTTGTTTTGTTCTTCAGCACATTGATTACTCTGACTGGCTCCATTCCTTGCTAGCATGCAGTGACAGCGGGGATGTCACTATCCATATACTTACCAAATTTGCACAGTTTGAGACATTAAGGAAAGTTGACAGGAGGAAACTTATGAAGGTGAGTAGTCGACAGTGTTTGGTGGAAGTCTTCTATACCTTTGTATTTTTATCTAAATTAATGTTGAATAAGACTTGAAAGTTTGCATATATGGTGGAAAGTCAGTGGATATGAGGTTTGCGGTAGCATGGTGGAGTCAAATATTTATAACTTATCTCGGCAGTGTTTAATGAAAAAAAATGCCGGCCCGACCACTCTGCGTTTGTAACTTAACAAACGCAAACCTCTAGTCTTTCTTTTTATCATCAATATGGTGTTTTTTGTAAGGCGACAAGTTGCCTTTTGACACTCGTTAAAATGAGCCATGTTTTGTCTACTGAAACTTGAAAAATGGTCTCTCCGTGGCAAACTTTTGGTGGCGTACTGTAGTGTGAAATGCCAAATTGACTAGGCCCACTGAAAACAATGTGTCGAATTGTGTTTTGAATGTTGTGGTAATTTTTCTGTGATCAAACATAATTGTTTAAAGTGTATTCAAAGTGTGGATTTGTAATTCTGAATCCACACTTCATAAATCCGAATCCACACCTTACTAAAGATTTGTGGATACGAATCCACACTTTGTGTCCAATACAACAGATTCTTAGATACAAATCCACACTTTTAACAATAGTGTGACGTCATAGCAGTGGTTAAAAAATTGTATATTGCATAGTCATCACGGTACTTTTTTGTAAGTATGCAATACACTGATTTATTATTTCTTTAGAAGCCTGGTATAAGTAACGACAACGGATATGTGCCTCATATTTTTGAGTGAACGCTGTTGTTGTTTTCTTTTCTTATTAGCACGTGTACAGCACACAAATTCATCAATTACAACCTTGTAAGAAGACTGCCACTCCTAGGCAGAAGGGAGGGACATCCAGCACCTTGGACATACAAACTGATCATGGCCATGGCAGACATGAATACAGCCCCACTACAGATGACCAGCACGTAGCTGATAGTACAAATGCTCCAAATCACAACCATGCAATCAATACACATGAAGATTTGGCATTCAGGAAACAAGAGCAAAGAGAAGTTGCCCATGCAGCTGCTGTTGATTCAAAGTCATTAGAACCAGAAATGGAACGTGTCATAAATCATGATGGCAATGAGAAGGTTGCATGTGTAGAGAGCGGTAAACAGGAAGCTCATGAAACAGGAGCAGAATCACTACAGGACACTCAGTCAGTAGGAACTGTGCCAAATGACAAATGCAGTGAGTTGGACTTGAAATTGTCATCGCTTGTTAGTACTTGCGAAGAGGTTGAACAAGTGATCCAAGGAGATGGTCAACTTGTTCCTAACTCAACCAATTTGGATAAGAATGTTGCTACACAAGAAAATAGATTATCCACTGGTAATGTGAGTCACACAATGAGGTCTGAAGGATCTAGATTATCATCTGGTGCCACACAATCAAGACATTCACAAGTAGATGTAGCCACTGATAACGAAGATAACATGTTACAGAGTGAGCAACAGGAGGGATTGATAAATGCTGCAGGTCATAAACACCAAGACTCTTACCAAGACCTAGAGTCCATCAAGAATGAAGCATCTAAATTGATCAGGAACCGAGAAACAGAAATGATTCCTCAAGAAAATATCGCTGTATGTAACAAGAGGCATTCGCATGATGCTGAGAGTGAGTTTACATTAAGGAAATCAACAACAGATGAAGAACTTGAAGACAAGGTTTATATCTCCTTTACAGATTCAGTTTTGGTGAGTAAGATAAAGTTGAGTTCTGCCTGTAATAATTCTACCGTGCTACTATTTTTCGCAATGAAAAGATTTGAAATGAAAAATTGTAAAGATGCAGAATTTGTTTAGAATTCACAGCAATTACCGGTATTCATGCTATTTTGCCTCAGTTGAAAATGCTGTACAGTGGAATTTTCATAAGTCAAACCTCAAGGAAACTGACTCAAATTTTGAGTTAAGCAGAGTTTTGAGTTATCCAATGGATTTTCTTTTCGACAACAATTGACAGGAATAAGTTCTTATTTTTGAGTTAGAATGGGTTTTTGAGTTAACAGTTTTTGACTTAACGCGATTTCACCGTAATAACATTTTCAAATGAGAAGTAATTGTAATTGTACATTTCAGTTTGGATAGAAACATTGGTAAGCAAAGGGTGAGATGAAGACAAACAAAAACTGTTCAGACAAAAATCAATATTCGGTTTCCCTAAGCAAACTCTAAAGTCTTTCCGTGACTTTGAATGTACCATTGTACATTGCTGGAGTGCATATTGACTCATGACAAAAGAAGGCTGGCTCTTTAGAGGACCTTATAACATGTCATGTCTGTCTCTGGATGAGATGAGTCGCACATCAGACCACCCACACTCATCATTACTGTTCTGATATGCTTTTGGTTAAAGGATGAACCCAGAAAGTCGAAATGGAAGAGAAGATACCGCCCAGCTAGTCCTGCCTCCTTCCATAAAGGACCATTATCTGTAGCAATACACAAGGTAAGTCCACATCCTTGATGAATGGATACTGGTATACAAATATTGAGTGGCTCAGAGTGAAATTGGAGGAATATTATCGCAAGGTAAAATCTAGACTTTTCCATTTCAAGAGGCAAAGCTGAGTAAACTGGAAAAGTCCAGATTTTACCAAGCGATAATATTCCTCCCATTTCACAATTTAAGGCCACTCAATATTTGTTTTATATAACTGACATATAGATCCTTGTCATTTGACATGTTTGAACTTTTATTTCAATACAAAATTGGTGGAAAATGTATTTCTCTCTTCCAAACCACCCCTTGACGAAAATGTTTGAACCCAACTCTTTAGCGCTGGCTCTTTGGAACAATACGCGCAACGCTGAACACGCACACGAGCATGTATTTGCACACAAAAACCGCGTCACGGAACAAGAATGAACCTAACTGTTGAATAGTAAGTCCCATTCCCCATGGGCGAATGGGACTTTTTGAGCCTCTGTGTGCATGGGAGCAATAACGAATGCCACGTGATGTGAGTTCCACCAATCAAATAACAAGGATCTGTATGTGAGTTATATAATAATGAATAATGATATCTCTCACCAGGCCAGGAAGTCCATCTAACAATCGGTGCTTTTCTGAAATAACATGCTGTATTAATGTTAGCACCATCGCCAGCTCTGGGCATTAGGGGAGGGATGCCACAGTACAAACTAGGGGGCACACCACCAGAAAAGACACACTTGTAGATAATGTTTACGCTTATGGTTTTGCCTCTCCCTTTGCAAATAGTATACAAACAATCACAATATACATGCATTTTATAAATTAAAAGTTCCCAATTGTTAAAAACCCACCCAGCTGATGGTATGAAACTATTTCTAAAACTGTTGATGTATACACATTTCATAATTTTAAAAATCCCATTGTTAAAAACCTGCACGGCCGATGGTATAAAACTGTTTCTGAAACGGTTGGTTTTTGCGCCTATTGATCTCATCCTCCTTCCTGAAGGCATCATGTGGAAGAACTCATTTGTAGGGTGATGCATATCGTCAACAATATTATGGACACGCTTCCTCATTCTCTTATCATAAATTGTCTTCATGTCATCCAACTTAACTCCAATTATGTATGATGACACCAATTATGACACCTCATTGATGGTGCTGGTTGCAGTGCTTCATCCCTTGTTCAGTTACTGACCATATGCTTGCAAAAGTTGTTATGGAATTTGAGTAAACTTAGAAACAGCAAAATCTCTTTCAGTGGAAGTCAAAGAGATAGTGATGCATATAATGAAACAATCAAACACTCATGCCATGACATTTGCTTACCTATTAAGCTACCGCATTTTACATTGCTTAAACCTCTAAAAACATTTTATATCCTGTACTTGCCTACAATCAGGTGACATCGTGCTGTGCATGCCATGTTACAAATGACTGTATAAGGTTGCACATTTTGATTGGTTTTGTTGTGTTGTTGTTATTTTCTAGGTATGTTTCAACCCCAACCTGGGCACTCATACATGGATCTTAAGTGGTGGACAGACGGGTATAGTGCGAGCTCACAATATCAAGGCTTTGCAGTCAGAGCGGACTATTAAAGCACTCAGGAATCAGACTGCAACAAGAAGTATACCAACAGACCAGTGATTGCATTTGCTAATTATTGATACTCTTTCAACAAATTCCTGATGTTTTGTTTACTTTTCCTCAATTATTTATTATATCTGTTTTTATGTATGATAATTGAATAGTATGCCATCAACTACATACCAAGGTCATATGGCTCAGAGAACTGATTACCTTCAAATGATGTGGTCGTTTTTGGTTGTTCTGTAGTACCTGTAGTGTGCACTGGAATATAAATGGTGTAAGATCAATACATTTGGGCCTTTGGAAGGTGTAAGAAATGCGTGGACCCTGACAGGTTGACATGGTGTCCATTGTTCCCAAGATATGTGAGGCTGTTTCACTGTATTTGGGTGATTAATGTCAGTGTGAACTGTTCGTCAACAAGATTGGTCATAACAGAGATTGCAGTAGGAATACAGTTGATTCATATACTCTGCATGCTGAATATTCATGGGGCTGCTCTGCTTTATCAATGATTTCGTAATAACTGTCTCTGAAATGTAATACACGGTGTATCCAAAAAAAAAAAGGAAATGCAAATGTTAATTATATAAAATCTAATAAATATTTTCGAAAAAAAGATAAAGATCATGTGAAACGCCAATGTGTCCTCCTTCCATTGATACCTTGATTGTGTGCCTATGGCCACGAATGACTGAGCATTTGTTGTTATTCTGTCAAGAGTCAAAACCTTCACTGGGCCAAGTTTTGCCTGGCTAAGATTGCTGGCAGGTAATATGCAAAGGTTGAAATGGATTAGACGTGCAGAGCTTTGTGTGGAAAGAGGTGGTGGCCACGTTGAAGGCACTGTTTTGAGGAAACGGATGTCTTCTTTCTTTAAATTAAGCTGTTGCAAAAGCTGTTAAGCTGTGCAAAAGGCTAACTGGTATTCTGGGCATGTGGAACAGCTTTAATTTAAAGAAAGAAGACATCCTTTTCCTCAAAACAGTGCCTTCAACGTGGCCACCACCTCTTTCCACACAAAGCTCTGCACGTCTAGTCCATTTCAACCTTTGCATATTACCTGCCAGCAATCTTAGCCAGGCAAAACTTGGCCCAGTGAAGGTTTTGACTTTTGACAGAATAACAACAAATGCTCAGTCATTCGTGGCCATAGGCACACAATCAAGGTATCATTGGAAAGATGACACATAGCGTTTCACATGAACTTTAACTAATTGGAAAATGTTTATTAGATGTTCCTCATTAACATTTACATCTTGGTATCCTTCTTTGTTTCTTCACCCTGTATACATGTGACAGGTATCAAGTGGACATTCTGTCTGAAGTGGCCTTATTGCTAGCTTTTGTACCTTTTTTCAATATGAAATATATTGTATTTACCTATTTCGTCAAACTGATCAGCGAAATAAATTTCAAGTATTAAATCGTACCAGTCAAGAGATGAAGCGAGCATATACATGGGTTATGAGGACATTTTCCCTTTTTCTGTCACTTTTAATATAAAAACTGTAAAACCAACTGATCTTCATCAGTGGAGGCTCTTGAACTCTTGATGCTCAACATTTCTATTTTCTACATTAGTTACAAAGTGGACAATTACCATTCATTACTGATGTACACGTACACACACATTCAGTAGGCCTACTGGCTTTGCAGACTTATTTGTATTGAACCATTGTTTCATCACAATCGTTTCAATGATGAAGGTGAGTGCGGTATCTGGTAACTTGATATTTAAGTAATGGTTAATACTTTTAATTATTGTATTTTATTTGTGTATGAAGATTTTTATTGTTGAAATACATATCAAAAAAATCTTGAATTTGATTTATTTTATTTGTTTACATGTATATTGTACGTGACTGGGCTGTAATTGAATTCTATTTTACCAAGTATCAGGTCGTGCATGTCTTGGGAGATTGCAAGTTGTTACATGCAGCACTTTGCTGCCTCTTTATCGAATGAGCCTTCAAAGTGCTGATTTACTGACAAATGCATCATAATCCAATTTCTACCTAAGTTGGCCTTACCCATGCTATACGGTGTCCATGATAGATTAGGGGTCATTTGAGGTCATTGCTGCTGATTTCGGCAGCATTTGTCAATGTGAACACATGCCAGGCCTTTTCTTCGGAATAAGGTCGAGTTAAAGGTTACACATGGGTCATTAGCGGTCATTTCATGAAATGTTTATACTCCCTTTCAACTTTCTCCGCGATTTTGAGTGACACTCCTGTCACCACTGTGGCCCGGGTTCGATTCCCGGCTAGGGCTTGGTGAGTAGAGTTGTGCAATTCTCTCCTGTGCAGCGAGGGTTTTTCTCCGGACTCTCCGGTTTCCCTCCCTCTGCAACAACATCAACACTTTCGATCTATGCTCCGTGGCCAGACATGCGTCCTATGGCGGTTGCCTAAGGCGCATTGATATGCCTTCTGCTCGATCACGTTGTAATCGCATCTTTCGGCTTCTCAGCTGCGAGTAATATACCCAGCACGATATGTGACAGAGGGCCCCATAATTATTAACATCAATAAGTGTTTCATTAGGCTGAATTGTAAAATTTGAAATTCACCAAATGGTACAGCCTATCGGCCGAAATGTTGCCGAGCCTTGATAAAAAGTAGGTCCTGATAGGGTCAATAAATAGGAACAAGACTATTGTTTTCATAAACGATATGGTGGGATGTACTATTTGGCCTACAGCATGGGATAGATGATTGATCAAAATTAATTGCGAGTCTCAACAAGCACTACTAGTGAACGATGACAGAACAAAACATTACTTGGTACACTACTGTTTTATTGATAACAATGTATTTAACATTTTAACTGTACAGGTGTTAATCACTTGAACTTGAGCAACTAATGCGGATGAATAACCACCACATTCTGCTGTGGTTGTCAGTCATTAGGCCTATGCTTCACGCAGTGGCGTGTGTATATAAGTCTCATTTACAAACTATCGACACATACCGTACGTGGGTCATTCCATAAATAAGGGGTCCACAGTGTGACATTGTTATATACATTTTGTATGTCTGGATGCAAAAGATTGTTTTAACCTTTGCAGTTTGAATATGTAGAACTGGTTGATCTTAGTACTTTAAACACAATGTTTTCATTTTCCGACTTGATTTTCTTCTTACATGACGAAAAACATGGTTTCACTTGTAAACATGGACACCATTACACGTGAAATAGGTGACTTATTTGTGCCATATTTATGTTGGTTTTCATCGAAAATGTCTAAAATTCATATATTTAATAAAGCAGTAAAGATACTTGTGTCTCTTGTGAACATTTCACTTTTCAATAACAGGCTGAAAATAAGTTGCTAGTTTCACGTGTAACGGGGGACACAATGGTGTCCCCCCCCCCCCAACATGTGAAGCAAAACATAATTTTGTGCCATATACCTGTTATCTTTCTTTGAAAATTTCTGAATTCTATACAATTTATGAGCTAATAAATGACACATTACTTTATACAATTCTGACATTTTCAGATTGATGTATTGCACAAAATAAAGATTATTTCCATATTTAGAGGTTGGTGTCTCTATTACACGTGAAACCAGTAATTTTTAGGTACCTTATATCTGAAGTATTTCACTTAAATAAAACGTCCCATTTTTTGGTAAGTAATCATTATACCAAATACTTCATGAAATAATGGATTTCAAAACTTTTTGGTGCAATCATGCGGATATTTATGACAAAAAAAGGAAGTGATTCCCATTACGCGTGAAACAGTTTCCATCATGTATGAAGACGATCAACTTGATTTTTACGATTCATGTTTTGAGTGACAAGGACAAACCATTCGCACATACTGAAACTGCAAAGAGTGCAGAAAATACTTTATGTACAAAGTTATGCATATAAATATGCATTGGTACCCTTATTTATGGAAATACAATGTACTCACATTTGCATTAGGAATATGCAACTAGGCATACGCCCGTAACTTGAGACCCTATATGCCTTGAAGGTATCTCACATGTAGAGGGTGTTCTTGTTATTTTGAGCTACAATGCAAAAAAAAATGTGTACTCGTGCATATCCCAACGATTCCAAACCACTGCCCTCTAACTCCACACGAGGTCTATTCTACCAAGTTGAATATCACATTATTTTCTAGACGATATCACTGCTCGCTTTGATTCGCTTTCTGATGTTCATGTATTTAGAAGCGGTTTCTGTAATAAAGACGGAAGCATTTACTGCCATACGCAAAATGTACTAGGGCCCACATCTTGGCTTACTTGGATCATTGAGAAAATTTAGGTCGTTGAACTCAAATCATCGAATATCTGTTTTGTATCGAGACACTGCATCCGATCCCCAAATACAACCTAACGGTAATTGTACGTTTCCGAGCATAGGACTGTGTAATATCAAACATTGGCCTAGCGTAAGTGCATATGTAGGGACTATGTCGTGCAAACTGATAATCAGGCCTGTCAAATAGACCTTATGCATCGACTCCATCTAAGGGTGTGTTCCAAGACTATATCATGACCGATCGATTGTCCGAAGATTCGATGGTCGTTAGTCCGAAGGTTCGATAGTCTGTACTTACCACAGCTACTTGTGGGGTACTCATACAAAGGGAAATGAGGGAACAATGCTACCCCGCTACTCACCCTTCGAAAAACGGTACCCCAGAAGTGAAATTCTAAAGATAAGGGACAACAATGCTAGAACCCAAGAACTCCCATCTGCTGGGATGACCGAAGGTTCGAGAGTGAGGGCTCATTAGTCTGAAGGTAAAATAATCCGAAGGTTCGATAGTCCGAATCGACAATAGGGTTCAAGTGTCCGAATTCAAAGAACTGAACATTGTCAATTCGGACTGTTGACCTAGTGTGCGTTTAGATTAATTAATTAACCTTCGGACTAATTAACCTGATACATGTACTGAATTCGGGCTACCGAAACTTCGGACTAATGAACCTTCGGATTATCGAACCTTCGGACTCATTTAATGAACCTTCGGACTATCAAATTAAATGTTCGGATTAACTAATCTTATTTCATTTCAGGACTAATGAGCCCCCGGGTATAGGAAATGTGTGCGTTCGGACTATCGAACCTTCGGAATATCGGGCGGACCCCGACTATAGGCCATTATGCAATTATGCTAAATGTGTTCAAAGTTCACATACACGTACTATTGCTTGGAAATCAACATTTACGAACGAGTGAATTTGTGGCATTTGATAATAGTCGAGACGACTTGTATCCAAGCATGACAAGAAAGTATACAAGTACGAGATCATACAGAAAGAATGCCGAGATCAACATACTGTGCAAGTTCGACACAGGACTTTTGAGCCCAAGACCGTGTATGTTGATGTGTGATTAAAAATACCAACAGTGAACAGCGTACATGTACATGTATTCTTTAATACCCCCAGTTAAAAGTCCCCAGTTTCTGGTATGCGCGCGCGTCGCCGTAGCCATGCGCGTCGGCAAAATGAAAAAGTTTTTTTTTCAATGAAAGATGATGTCTCAAAACCGCCAAACTCACTGGTTTGACTGGAATCCTGCTGCTGCACAATTTTAACGTGTTTTTAGATTGGGTTATGGTCGAGAATAAGCTTTATGTGGCCTCTCTGAACTCCCATATATTTGCACTAAGTTTAGTCGGGCACCATTTGCAGTCATCAGCCGACATTTGAAGCAAAAAAATCAGGGAAAAAAAAAAAGGCCGCGTCGCCGCACCACTTTTTGGGCAAGCTCCATACCAGAAACCGGAGACTTTTTTTTGGCCTAAACGATTCAAAAATAGATTATCAATAGGCCTAATGTAGCAGTTACACAGCGCAGAAAAAAAATACTGTGTGACCACTGAATTCGCCGTTATTTGCAGAAAGTGAAGCTAATGATTTAAGCGTAATTTCCTGTAATTATCGGCCGATTGACAGTGGTCACACAGTTTCAGTGTTGATAACTGTTATGTGTACAATTTGATTGTATTTTTGCTCGGTTAAAATAAATGCATGTGCATTGTATACCGTAACTTAGACCTCTTAGATTCGGCAAACCAACGACTCGGTGATAATACAATAAATATTGTTATACCTCTGTCTTGAATACTGTATTTACATTGGCCTAGAACGATCATGTGTTAAGTTTATAAAAAGTCATGGCACACTCCCTATGGGATATTACGTACCCACAGGGAGTGTGCTATGACTTTATATACCTACGTAGGGTCGCAGTACGTACGGTGCGAAACGCTTATATCGTTGGCACCCACGCTATTTTCACCATGTTTTCACACATGAGTGGGAGCAGCGAACTAGCAGACGATCAGCTGTTTCGAGCACGCGATATGCAGTTGGCGTTTGATTGTCATGATTATTGTGTTAACTGCTGTTTGTTTTCGTAATTTTTACATCAAATCCAAAGAATTCAAGACAGAGGTATAACAAAACAATTGTTGACCGCTGTGATGTGGGATATGACGTTTTGAACACCCTCGGGGCGCATAGTTCGCCTCGATTGCTATGCGCCCCTCGGGTGTTCAAAAGGTCATATCCCACATCACAGCGGGCAACAATTGTTGAATACTGCTGTATTCTGAGTGAAGATTTAAGTATAACAACGGACAATACGACTACATTTCGTTTACTACATTTGTCTGCTAAACTAAGTGCTCCAACGCTATGTAGGAAAATTATGTGCACAAAAATGGTCCGTTGTGCTATGGTGTATTAAACAACATAAAACCATGCATCATACATATACATTCAAATATATTCTTAAATGATTAAGACCGAGGTAAGTTAAAACATACAATTATCAAAGGAAATAGGACACTCGAGATGAAAACAAAAGTTACAATCATTACTGTCGAAGGTTTACTCCAAACCTATTATTTTCAAAAACATTATGAACATTTTGTTAGTCGTAAATAAGATTTATGTAATTAACGGCGGCTGCTTAAACAACAGCACGTGATGAAACGCAGCCCTATTTAAGAATTTATTTGAAAATACTAAATAGTCTAAAGACCATCCATAGCGGGTTGGCGATAAATAAGTGAACATTTCTTTGAAAAATACTGATGTTTTGCGATTGCGATTACAAAATGCTGTATGTTCTGATTAAAAAAAAAAAAAAAGTGCATAAAGGTTAAAGATGCATCACACGAAGTGAAGTCGTTTCAAAACATTCTTTAAACAGACGTCTTTTCATATCAAAATATTTCGTATCGAAAGATAAACGTACATGTACTCTTAATTAATTAATTCAATGAAACAGTAACGAATAATGAACGTAAAGTGAGTGTTACCGAGCATCAATAATTTACTATTCGGCTACCGCGCATCTATTCTGCCTAAAAAAATAGTTTTAAAACACTCTTAAAACCTAAAATGTTCTTCTTTCTTGATGTATTTTCCTAATGGTACAACATGAGGAGAAACAATTAGTATGTCTTACTCAGCGGTGAAATATCACACCACTTCCAACTTATAATGTAGCTATACCACCCACACCAATTAATACCACTCTTTGACAGAAGTGGGGGTTTTGTACTCGCGTCTGTATTCTGAGTGGACACATTTTGTCGGATTTTGTGCTTTGACTTGAATGTTATGCCTTTTGCCAGTATAGCTCTATTAGCCATTCGCTCTAATGCCGGTTGTGGTGAATATTTCGAAAAATGTTACTTATAACATAAAAAATGAACCCAGTTTGGAGGTCTAAATTGAATAAGTTAATGAGCTTATTGCCAGTAAAGAGACTATTTTTTTTTCTAGCCGGTGGACCATTTGTTTTTAAGACGGAAAAGGGACGACCTCAAAACTTATACGCGGCTTACCCGTCTGCATTGGCTTAGCCCTAGGCGATCCCAGGAAGCTATTGGAACATACCCAGCGAAAGGAAGGATGTCATTTTGATCATTTTTTGACAGTGTTGCACCAGTCAGCGTGACTTGCTTTATCATTACTGATCATATGTTCTTATATGTCATTGTTTTATACACTCCCCAACATCAAGTAACATTCGTTTTATCAATAATGTAAAAGTTCACAGCGCTCAGTGACAACCACAGGCACGCACAACCATATTCCGATACTTCTTCAAAATGACGTTGGAGCTATCATCAAAGAACAAGACAGATATGGCACTGAGTTTAGTGGGTGCACAGCACGCTTGTGGTACGGCTTCAGGACTCATCAGATTGACCAATGTTTGTACAATAGCATGGTTGGTAGCATTCAGGTAGTCATTCAATGGAAAGGCACATTCACCTTCGCAGTAGAAAGCTGCATAACCATGTGGTGCAATGATCCAATCCTGTGGGAAACAATTATTCAAATTTAATGAATCGTTAAATTTAAATTCCATCAAGTACAATGCGGCCTAACTGCGATGAAAATCCAAAATGACCCTGAAATATAAATAAATACACATGCATGCTATCGTTAATGTCACTTGTGTGATACATGTGTTATAAAAAGAAACTACTCTGCTGATGCGAGAAGTCTGTTATTAGTCCCATGACTGTGCACGTGGAGATGAAATACTCGTTTCCAGACTCAACATGTCAAGAATCTGAACTATGTCATATTTGAGTCAAGTCGCGTCTACATCCTGCCGACCGGTAAATAAGGTAGTAAAATTGACAGTTAAGATGTCGCATCCGCTTTCCTTGAAAAAGGCCTTTCCATCCTATTTAAATACAAACCTTCATGAACAAGTAGAGAACCACTGTCAACCGGTTTTTCAAACAAACTTTCTTTTCATTTAGTATTAATATGGCCTAGTTCCATTACGAATGATCCTTCATTTTACATGTAGGCCCTAATCACAGGAAATCGTTTAATAAATAAGAAAAAAAGTTGATCCCTGAACAAAATTGACCCCATTCAAAAGGACCCGTTGGAAAGATACCAATCCAAACACAAGCTGTGTCTGAGAATCTTGATCTTTTGAACCTGAAACCCTTACCAACATTTATATCTCGCTTAAATACAACTCGCTAGAGGTTGCTTAACGAAACTACGTAAGTAATTGGCTGTGTTTATAGAAAATTCATTTACAGGTTGCATATGCTTTTATTCACAAAACAATACAAACCGAAGAAAACGTTTGTTTTTACAATAATTATCTTGGCCATTTAACTCCCTAAAACCAGTAACAACTTCACCGATGAGAACTCTTCAGCCGAATTCTATTCAACAATATGAACCTTAAAATATCAGAAAACATCTTGGTTGTTTTTCTCACCCAGATTTCTTCGAACATTGACCTTTTGACGTGGAACAAATGTCAACATGTGTGCCAACCAGTAAGCGCAATTCCAGATATATTTCGGCACCAACATCCGGCGACAACAGGTGATAATAATTGCCTAGCACTCACCTGCCATTCCAGATCCCTGAAGTTGACCTGCAGTGACCTCTTTTGGCACTCTCGCTGCCTGACTGATGCTGAGTTAGCTGCAATGGATAAATGACCAGCATTTGACTTTGTACCCTCTGTGGTGATATTTAATGGAGTCATTGATGATTCATGTGTGGATTTACTCAACGGATACAACGCTATTTATTATTCTCAATGAAGGAGTGTATACGTGCATGGGAAGTTTCCCAGCTGGCAACAGCATTGCGTGTTGACAATAAATTTTGTGACGTACATTCAATATAAACTAATCCATTTCTCAAAGTCGAGAGCCTGGCAATTTCATGTTTATGCTTTTGACGGCCATTGTGACGCTATACAGACATGATCCACGATTGGTTTTCATACTTTTCAGACAATAATAACAGGCTTACCTAACATACGCCTAGTTAAACTGTACCAATTCGGGAATACTCAGAGTTTGCCCAAGTAATGGCAAAAGCACGGTGCCAACTTTTGTACAAAAACACCGCTCATTGACAATTATTGTGTAGCTTTTACAATGTCTTTACTCTGCCATTACTTCAGGGAGTCTGTGTTAGTCTACAGCGACTCAGAGTTGGATTGTTCTACAACAGTGTATAAGAAAAAGGCAAAATGTTATAGTGCTAAAACAAATTGGTAGACTGTTAAAGAAGGCTCTACATGTGATGGCACAGACACCACTTAATCATAATCCCACAGATTTCGATAAAACGGATGGCGTCTTTCACACCCCCTTGGTTTCTTCTATAAATAATTTTGACTCATTCAAGTATCAACAAGTAATATCTCATTATACCCTCGGGTGCGACTAGCGCATGTCGATAACAAAATGGGAAAGACTCACGGTTTCGAGAGGGAGAGCCCAGGTCGTTGAGTGAGTTAGTGTCCGTGTCGATAGTTTCTGGTCGTTGTCTTCTCCTGGCACTTTTTCGTGAAGTGCTCCTTCTATTTCTTATTCTGGGTGCTTGAGGCTGAGAGAAACCTTGGAAGAATGCCACCATGAATGGTTCTTTGCCTTGCTCACTGTCCACTCCCACTAGACCGATTGCACTGGGATCCACTAGCTCACCTAGGTACAACATACACATCATTATATATTAACATTTCTTGACCTGAATGTTGGAGCAAGTAAATATCACCGATTGATAATTAGAAGGTTGCCAGCATCTGGAGCACGACATACTCTGATCACGTTTCTACTCATCATTCTTCAGAGTTGCAGTGACTCGAGTCAATGACTCGACTCGAGTCCAACTCAAGTCACAATTTTTGGTGACTCGACTCGACTGAGTCGACTCGAGTCCCTAAGGGTAGATGAATCGACTCGACTCGAGTCGCTGCGAGCAAATGACTTGACTCGACTCAAGTTCCTCATCAGGAGACTCAACTCGACTCGAACGAAGGATAATAAGATTTTGAGTCTAAAAAAAACCCAAAACTTTGCGAAAAATATTTGCAATAACTTACGGTACAAATTTTATGTTCGCCACTATGCGAATACAGTACGGTACAGCCGCTACAGCGGCTCTCGTCGTGTACAAACAAAAGAGGCACAGAATGCACCTTGTGGTTCTGGAACGCACAAAATACTATCCCGGAATGGGACTTTTTTTAAACACGTTTTTCCAATTCGTTGTTCCATCATTGCATGGCTTTAGGTGATTTCTTATTAACCTCTTGTATTCGAACGCCGGCTAAATTTATGCCCTCCTTCTAAAAATCACATGCCCACTTTTCAATTATCAGAAAGAGTTTTGTATGATGCAATTTGGTTTTGATGTTGTCAGCGTTCAGCAAAACAATTCTAGATCCGAAGCAAAACCAGAAAGCCATATATAAGACTGAAGTTTCAATTCTTGTAACCTGTTACTGCTAAAATGACTTTCTCTCCTGTCTTTTCGACTCGACCTTCTTGACCTAATGACTCGACTCCACTCGAGTCACTTCTTTAAAATGACTCACTCCACTCGACTCGACTCACAAAAATCGATGACTCATTACAATGCTGTTATTCTCTCTGATCACGTTCTGACAAGTAGTTTTATTTGAGGAAACATCATTATGAGCTCCTCAGACCTACTTTAATATTAAATACTCAACCTTGTGATATACGGGCCTGATAATACAGTGACATTAGCAAATTTGATCTCATATACATTTATTTAAATGCGAAATATGAGTTAATTAAATACTGACACACAAAAATCGAATGCCACGTACCATCTAATGTTTCCACTGTCACCTGCAATCCCATATTAGCACGTGGATATGTTCTCCATGTTGAACTGGCCATAGAAACATCAAACACTAACCATCCATGGTCAGCACGTCCAACCACCTGCCCATCCAGGTATGCCATAGATCGAGATCTGCCAAGCAAATCACAGATTGATAGATTATGGACTAAATACTGAACTACGGTTAAGTTACTGAATGGATAAATATGGCGATGAGTTGACGGGATGGCAGGACGGTATGATGACCACCTGCCTAGAAATTGGAATATTAAGATACAGTCGTAGCTTATACATGTACTGGGGACGTAATTAACATTCATAGCGAAACTAACATGAGGTGCGTGTGATCAATTTTAACAAATTCTCAGTCTCAATTATGTCGCGACTCGGGACGTCAAAAATTTGTAAAATTTGAATCGGCCGTAAGTCGTATTGCCAAATTCAGCACTAAACACTGAGAAACGCAGTGAGAAATGAGTGCCAAATACTGCTTTATACCTTCCATTCTCTTGATCTTGAGGTATGACTTGGTAGATGTTAATCCTATAGGTGCCATTACCAGCCGAATAGCTTGTACTGTAGCGAAAAACTCGTAGTTCGGCAGCAGTAACTGTCTCCTCCTCAGGTATGCGAGTCAGATCAAAATGATATCGATGCGGACCATGCTTGGAGACTGCTCTCTCTTTATAATGAACTGAAACAAAATGGGCAGAAACACTGGATGAAGCCTACACTAAGCACCAGTTACATAGTTCAGGAAAATAATACCTGATCAGTGATAGCGTTATAAGCTCTGTTCCATTTGATTCTTGTGCGTGATTTGTCAGTTTGGTTTTTAATGTTTCATACAAGGTTGGAGACACATTCGCACATTATTTGTGTTTTGTGTTTTTCCCCCAATACTTTGTATTGAGCAAAAAAAAGGCATTCCCAAACCAAGGAAACTAAGCGTTTTTAAGCGTTCGCAAAAAAATGCAAATAGCAAGAACTGACATTTTCAGGCACATTGTGAGAAAACATGACTATGGTAACTGCGATTCTGCAACAAAAATCACACAACTACAATCCACCGCAGTGAAACAGGAGTCCTTCGTATAAGGGTGAGATAAAGAAAAATTGAGAAATATACATTTTTGTGAGGTATTTGTGACCAAAAGTACCACGTGAACGAATTAGTATCCATCTATCACGTGAGCGAATTGGTATCTATCACGTGAACGAATTGGTATCTACCACGTGAACGAATTGGTATCTATCACGTGAACGAATTGGTATCTATCACGTAAACGAATTGGTATCTATCACGTGAACGAATTGGTATTTATCACGTGAACGAATTGGTATCTATCACGTAAACGAATTGGTATCTATCACGTGAACGAATTGGTATCTATCACGTGAACGAATTGGTATATATCACATGAACGAATTGGTATCTATCACGTGAACGAATTGGTATTTATCACGTGAACGAATTGGTATCTATCACGTAAACGAATTGGTATCTATCACGTGAACGAATTTGGTATCTACCACGTAAACGAATTGGTATATACAACTGTATATCAATAACGCAGCTCATTTGGCGCAGCTCATTAAATGGAATAGAATATATGTTTTGTTAGATTTCATGTTTACCGGTATTAAAAACAATTTTGTAAACAACATATTTTAAATTAATCAGGTTTTTAATCGGTCCTGAGGGGACGGTATGTGATAGGTAGCAGTATATAGCTACATTTTTGGTATTCATGTGTTACTCTTTTGTTTTCATGTGATTTTTGGCTAGGTCTACATGCACTGGGTGGGACTTTATGCAATTTTTTGCAGGAATGAAATGGCATATATTTTACAGCCACATTTTTTTCTTAGAATTTTAAATTTTTCGACGTGAAAATATTTTGCTTTTTTACTCTCACTTTTTGTGAAATTTTTGAAATTTTTTCACAACCTTTTTTTTTGGACTCCATGTAATTTTTTTTCATCAAGAATTCACTTTTTTTTTCTTTACTTTGAAGATTATTTTGTATGAATGCGCAATAAGTGACTCATCAGTTAGTTCTTTACTCATACTGAATGTTTGGTGTAAAGTTGTATGTAAAGTCTTGTCGACTTTGGTAATTTTATATTCTTTGTCTAATTTTATTTCTGTGTAATTTTAATGTGAGGGCGCCTTTGGAAAGCAGTTTATCAACAAAAAAAACGAATTATCAACATTAATGCCTGATTTAAAATAACACATGTAGTGTTTAACAACGAAACTTGGTGTCCAAACATAAATGGTTACGCGTAGGACTCCCCCTCGCAAGATTTCTTGCTAATAATTAAAGGGACATCAGGAAAACAAAGGGCGAACAACGTAGAACGAGAAATTGGAACGTTTGTCATAATGTGTAGTGCATGCCGGTGTAGCGTGAATATCTGACTTCATGAAATATGGACTCATTGATAGTATTGCGCATGCGTAAGTAGGATAAAAACCTATTTACATGACTATAGGCCAAAAAAAAAAGTCTCCGGTTTCTGGTATGCGCGCGCGTCGCCGCAGCCATGCGCGTCGGCAAAATGAAAAAGTTTTTTTTTCAATACAAGATGATGTCTCAAAACCGCCAACTTCACTGGTTTGACTGGAATCCTGCTGCTGCACAATTTTAACGTGTTTTTAGATGGGGTTATGATCGAGAGTAAGCTTTATGTGGCCTCTCTGGACCCCCATATATTTGCACTAAGTTTAGTCGGGCACCATTTGCAGTCATCAGCCGACATTTGAAGCCAAAAAAAAAAAAAACCGGGTAAAAAAAAAAAAAAGAAAGCCGCGTCGCCGCACCACTTTTGGGGCAAGCTCCATACCAGAAACCGGAGACTTTTTTTTTTTGGCCTAATGGGAGAGTGACTTGTCACGTGTGAGGGATTAACCAATAATAGGGGAAATGAGTCCGATTTTCATAGGAGTAGGATTTTCATATGACACCAGTGGAGTGTTAAGTTTGGACTACATTGAATACGGACTCATAGCTTATATTACGCATACCTTTGTGAACTTAATTATTACGACAGTGACAGGTGACGTTTGCGGGAGACAAAAGAGACCAACTTTCATAGGAGTTCCAATTGTATATGACATCAGTATGCAAAACTGCTGCAAAGAAATACGTGGTTTGCCTACACGGACCGATGAGCGGCAAGATAGTGTCAACATGTCACAGGACGGAACATAATTTACGTTTCTATTTCTGGTTTAAACAAAGTTCACCGATGAATAAAGTAAACACACACTCATCAAACACAATATAAACAAGGATGGGCACGCATTTCTGCATTTCTGTTTAGAAATCTTCTGAACCCAAGAACGTCGACCTGCCAAGCCACTTCCACTCCCGAACAGTACGTTGACAGTAACGTGATTTGTGACGGTTGACGACAGTTCTTCGGAAAGGGTGGATTTTGAATTGTTGTAATATTATTTCTTTTAAACTTCATACCACGGTCGCAATGTCAACAATAAGATTTACTCCTTTAGCCCTCAAGGTTTATATTTGTTAATCAAACTTATTCAAGATAACGATTAGAGAAATTTCAATTGAACGTGTGGCTTAAAGTTAAGGATTACTCATAAAAAGACATTTGAATACTATGGCAGGGATGACTGCAATTTCTCAATTAATCTACATCAAAGCATTTGCCCATGACTGGCAAGAAATTTCAATTCAACATTTCCCTATATGGCACTAGTAAATAGTAATTGCATGTATCAACTTTTTGTACCCAGACATTATTGCAGATACACGTAACTCACGTAAATAAAAACAAAGGAAAAAGAAATATTCCTTTGAAAATAAAGTCTGGTTCTTACGCAATATACACTGATAGTGAATCACATTTAATTTAAAACATTAACGGTTTTCACATGTTCATCCCGGTAATCAAAGTAAACGTCTTTTTTTTACCAGTATATGTATAATCGGCATGAAAATGTGGGCCTACATCCTATAAACAATTGACAATGCCCCAATTACGAAATTATTCAACATTATCTGTGTAGGCCTAGTTGTTATTCAAATTATTTGCATTCACTGTGTGCTAGTTTAAGGAATTAAAGCAAAACATCTTTGGGGGTTTTCAGCAGAGTGTAAGTGGTATTGCTGCCGGGGTTAGAACAAATTAAAACGCCGAAACATTGTCCACGGTTCCCCCATTGGCTTATCTATCACATGGCTATAAGGATCAATGTGGGGACAATCTGCGCGTATATAGTGATCAGCTTCATTATGTACGCACACTCCTCAGGTTTTACTTAAACCGTATTTTTCTAAAACTGTCACACCTAATATTTGTTTAGGAAATACAGGCTGTTTACATCCTCATATGTCACATTTAATGTCAATTGATGGGTTCATAATCGATTTTATATGAGCTATAGCATAGTCACAATGGTTGTACGCTATATCTGCTATGTCGCAAGTTTATATTTAAGATTTTGTTTCATTTGTAGAAACCATGCTTAAGATTTAAAACCAAAAAAAAGTAAAAGGACAAAACTCAATAGAAAACATTCAGAAATCCAGACCGACAATATGCCTGCGGGAAAAAAATCAGAACAGATGAAAAGCCAGGTGCAATACGTGCCGTGTTATATTTTCAGCAACTCAGCATGCTCTCCGGATACGCCCACAAGACTACCAACTGGGATGTGTTTACATTACGACGTGGAGGGGGAAAGGCCGACACAACTATTTATGTTAGAGCATGGAGCTATTAGGTTAGAGCCTGGGTCGGGATCTTATGCTGGAGTATTGGTATGACCATGGTATGACCATGGAGTATGACTGATGACTTCATTGAAAGATATGGATGGGGCAAAAACAGTACGCATGTGCACTGAATCCATACAAGTACATGTAATGTGCATTGAATCCATACACAAGTATTACACCACCAGCTCACAGTTACTCTGCACGCGAAACTGGTTTGAATGTTACATGCCCTTTCATTATCCCATACTCTTTTTATTTGCACTTCCTGCAAAAAAAGGCCGAGATACCACTTTAAGCAAAGCAAAATTCGTACAAACAGAAGGCTCGTCATCCATTGATTTCTTGTCCAAATTTCGCAGCATTTTTGTATCCGGCTTGGAAACCGACTAAAGCACAGCGTGACCTTTCACCTTTGTATAGATTCTGACTCTGCTTTGATAAGGACATTTTTAACAAAATCACACAAAATATCAAGCAGGGGTTCTTATTTTTCTCTCACTGATTCTAAATCAATTATTAAGCCAAAGGGTAAAATCGAATGAATGATGAAAAGTTCACCGTAATGTGAAGTGTGTTGGTGTGAAGAAGATGGATATGTTCCGTTGCAGGTCCATGGGGAGTTGGCCTTGCACGTACAGCCCCGTATACGGTCCACAGGCTTGCCAAATCAGTAGTTTCCTTAAGAACTCCCTACTTAGTTTCCTTAAGTATAGAGGATCAAATTTGCCAAAATCCATCACTCACTCTGCTTCACGTGGATTTTAATGGACTTGGTGCACATGGCTTATCTGCCAAAATCCCCTAAAATGGGAGGGTGGGTTCAACCTCGTCCCCAGGGTGTCGAGCAGTACGCGCCCAGTCTCACCCTGGTATTGGATCATTTGCACGTGCAAAATTTTTGAAAACGTATGCAAATGAGGAACAGTCTGGTGCCTGCATG